TTCAATCGTTCAAATGCAATCAGGAATCTCGATAGTTACGATGGTAAAATGACGTGGCAGGATCTCTATTGCTACCAAGCAAACATTCGTTCACCACGGGACACCCAGGGGAGCAGTTATCCCTAGAGATCCCAATTTCGATTGCTTTATTCGATAGGAGAATCGATTGAAAGCGTGCAACTCTCAAAGATGCCACCTAGAGATCCTGTTGCCACCCTCGCGACCTAACCAGCTGCCCTGAACGTTACATAGAATTAAACTACCCTGAGAAGAATTTCAATTTTACCTTTTACCTTGGAAAATCTAAAAACATCTAATATCTGGCTCTTCATAAGAAAAAAAGGAGTTTATCGACCCCTGCTCCAGAACATGTTATGAAGAAAGAAGAAAACAGCCCTTGTAGTTGACGGGTGAACGCGTCTGCACGACGAGCCCCTAATTTGTTAAGCGATTCATAGATTCAGAGGCGCGGTCTACTGAAAAGAGAATCCGATCTGGCTCGATCGAAAAGAAGAGGACCAACCCTCTTGCAGAGCGGACAAAATGTATCGAGACAACTAGCTCGGCAACGATTCTCAAATTATAACAAGAAATTTTGGGCGTGTCTCTGGTCACGTGCCTCCTAAAAGCTGCAACCTTAGGGGAGAGAAAGAGAAAAAGAATTTTCCGATGAAGAGATGCCTGCTGCTGCTGCTGCTGGTCCTTCCGGGACCGGTCTGGTATCAGCTGCGCCTCGTTTAAACACGGAAATTCATAAGTCCGAGTATGTTGCGCGAGTGTTTGAAAAAACCCTCCTGTCTATGCTGAAGGGAAGAAGAGGGAAATATCGTGTCTGGGCCAGTCTCGAATCCCTCTAGTCCCTAGTAATCTCCACCCCCGACTGTTGAATTCGAAACAGCTTGGCCAGAACTAGAACCCTTCGATCAATTTTTTTTCTTCGTTGCTTTATCTGATGGAATGAAAATTACTGTTGGTTAATTTTGGTAGAGTCTTTTTTTTTTTATAGAAACAGTCAGGGTTGGTGTGCGAGTGGTAGAGTGCTGATCACCTCCAACACGCATTCGATAGAAATTAGCGATCAGTGAAAATTTTTGCGATGGCAACTGAATACCCTGGAATTAGCTATCTGTCGCTTGGATGACAGGATAGATATCGTTTTTAGAACGTCGTAATATGTATATATGTATAAATTCTTTCCATAGAACGAAAGCGGATACGCGTTTACGCAACTAGTATATCCTTGCAAACAATGCTCCACGCTGATTTTCCCTTTTTTTTTGTATGTGCACCAATGAATATGTCTGTCTATCTGATTTACGAGTTACCCGTCGTCGCGACGCCAGGCTTGTTTATAAAAAGAACCGTAATTACGCGGTTTACATAACGAGCGTGAGATACGAATCGATATTCCCTCGATATTTGAATCCATTAAGTAGCAAATGTTTATTTAACTTCATTTTGATAAGCTTTGTTCATGTTTTCCATTAATTATAACATATATACTTATCAAGTGACGTCCGGTTAATTTTTCTCGCTGGAACTCGCCGCGAGTGCACGCGTACTCGACACTGTCCTCGAGTCGTCAGTTTGTGGTATTAACGCATTGCAGACCGCTGACGACACGATTTGTCGCGTTTATTGACACTTCGTTGCTCTCTGCTAGGACGAGTAAATCAATTTTTCGATAAAATATTATTCGTAACTCGAATTTTCTATCGAACCAATTCTTTAGCCACGACAAAAATGATGATACTTCAAATTCAACGAGGTAGATATCATTGTTTGTCGTGATAAGATTATAAATGTATGACATAAATCCTCTTAAAACAATAGAAGTACTTTTTGAGATTGGAGTGTAAGGAAAGTCGTTTTAGAAATCCAAGCAAAATCAGTTTATTTCTTCGCAATTTTCATTTCCAAATAGGATACAAATGTCAAACATGGTTGCATTCGGTGAGCGCGATCTGCGAACGGTTCAAGAATGTCGCTGATGGAAACATTGCTGTCAGTCTGTGTCCTTTGCGGGCGTTGAAGTCACTAACCCATTGAGAGTGCATAACGAGTCTGACTAGTGACGTGTACTACTTACACAGCTGCTCAGTCTTAAAAACTCTTGTTACACGTAACAAAATTTTGTAATTTTACACACGTAATATTATTAACATTTTTCATAAAATGTTTAGTTTGAAAATGAAAAACTTTCAAAGAGTCCAAGAGATGAGATTCGTGTTAGCTAGGTGACAAAGACAGCTGCATCGCAGCGGCCGGTGACTTAAAGTACGGCCCACGTGGTCTGCTCTTTATAATTGATCATTTCCCTCGTCGACGCGTCGTTAAATGCTTCCAGCTCGCTCTGCTCTTCGTCTTCCTGACGAGATCGTACTCGCCACGAATCGCGAACCGCCTTGAATTTAGGTTATTTTCTAATTGCACGCACTTTACCGTAACTTCCGCTCACCATGATCCATCGTCATCAGAATTTTTTTCAAACATATCATTGTGAAACACAACAGAATTTAATTACTCCATCATTTAACAGTCTTTTCATCCCATTGAAAAAGAAGGCGTTTTTTTTTTTTTTTCAATCTTTTGTGATACTTTCTATTCCTTTGACTTTTATTCCCGGGCGGAACAATCAAAATTCCAGATTCACGTTCAAAGACACCGTGCAATGAATAGATCCATAGAGAAACGCATTCCGTGCCCTACATAGGATTGTATATAAACCGGAATAATCAAAGTCTAGCACTCGTTATTATGCAAATCGAAGGTACACGATTTCTTTGAGGTCCGCGCTCGTCAAAAGGACTTGGCCGTTAATTCCCGTTGCTGGTGTTCTCGAGATACACGACGCGGACAGGTGTGAATGTTTCAACGACGATTGACGTCATATTTGACGCAGAGCGTCGAGGTTTTGTGCGCCACGTCTAATATGCTAATCGAACGAGATCGCCGACACTCCAGTTCCGTGAAAATTGCTGTACTTAACGCTGCTAATTTCCCAGTAGAACGTTGTACACGTCCATTCGATGAATCATGACACGTTATTACGTGGATATCTTTGTTAACCCTTTCACGGAAATGACGTCTGCAGTGGTACAATTTTCAAGTGAATAATTGTATCGGCCTTAAATCGATAACAAATTAATAAATGATCAAAATTGCTTTGATAAACGTGTGAAAGGGTTAAATGAGTTTGAAAACCGTGAGAGTAATATGAACTCCAATTAACCCGATCCTTGTCGCCAACGATATCGTGCACTGCTTACGACACGGCTATTAGTGGGACAAGGTCGTTGTGAAATCTGGAATGTCTTCTGAAAAACAATTCCGGTTGAGATTGTATCTGCCGACGCGATCGAGACTCGCGCTCGAGATCGAGTTCTCGATGGACACGAAGAATCTTTATCTTCAAGATTCATTTTCAAACAGGTATATCCATTCTGTCAGAGTTTCATTTTTTTTTTTTTTCTTTTTTTCTGAAGCGAGCAATTTGTCAAGGAAACTTGTACGAATAAAATGATATCTTTTATTGTAAGCTACCATGTCACGTTATCTTAACGCGACCTGTGTTTTATGAGCAATCTACGTTGTTATGGTTGTCGGCGCGGTCAGCGGTTTAATTTTCTTGCTTTTAACCCTTTCGCTGTCGCACCTGCTGCGCGATAATAATCGTTGAGATTAATTTTCTTTAAAGCAGAAATAATAAAAGCTTTTTAAGTACACCGATACTTGCGTGTATCTTCCTTTCTTTTTTTTTTAATTAAAATCCAGTTTTATAAATTGTTGATTTTATTGACACGTTAAAACGTTGAAAAGTATCGCGAAAGGCGGATACGAGCACTAGATAGAAGCAAGCTGGAACCTGATCCAATCAGGAGGAATAATCGACGCCGGTAGGCAGATGGTTTTAAAGGACCCGTGGCTGAAAACAATTTCTTTTCGTGGCAAATATTTTACCTCCAAACATAACCGGCACAATGCCACGGCTTCTCTGGCCGTGCCAGGGACACGCACAATGCTTTTGCGGGACTAACAAGGAAAAGCTTGCATTTTGTGGAAACGCTGCCCTGTGTTGGCCCTTTGCACACAAAAGTATCGCGTTCGCGTGGCTGTATTCTGGTTTACATACCACCCACCAGTATACAGAAAGGCGACAAGCCTCGAAGCTGTGCTGCTATCCTTCGAACAATATTTACCCCTCGACATTTAGATGTTCCACCAGCCTCCTTTCCCGACGTCTCTTCCGTTGTTGGAAACCATATTGCCCAGCTTTATCTGCCGATTAATCATTTCCGTGCACATTTTTTAAAATACCGCAGTGGAAACGTCCGTCAGTAGTAAGACGCGTAATAGAATGTTGTTAATTATTTTCCCTCGGGTTACTTGGTTATGATGGATTTGCGATGCCATTCATCGGTGACCCTCATGGCGTTCAACGTGTTAACGAGGAGCAACGTTGGTCGCTTGGAAATAGAACGTGCATCGAGGTCGAGGAAATTTGTGAAAATTAATCGCGTGCATAGGAAACGTTAACAGACGTAATTTGTTATGTACACCGAGAAAGATATATACATATTCAGCGTAAAGTATCCGTGTCGAATTAATATCGTTCAGTATCACGAAGGGTTAATCGAGGGATATTTTTGTGTCGCAATATAGAGCATGGAGCTTTCGATTCTCGAAAATATCAAATATTTAATAAGTTACGCTAATTTTAACATAACAGATATCCTATCAGACGTTGACGGGGGTGGGGGTTAATCTCTGAAATTTCACGCTTCCCTAATGCAACGGGCCAGGATTTACTCGGGACCAAGGATGGTATTATTCGGTTGCGTAGGGTAGCGCGTGGCCGGTTGCCACGGTGTGTTTAACTACCCCCGGTTCTGTAGTAGACGTCTCCGTGTGTGTGCGTGGATCAGCCGGCTAGATCAAGTAGAGACCGGCCGAGATAAAACACACTGTAAACGGGCGACCGGTCGGATATTTGGTTACAGGGAGGCGGCGGCACGTGCGGCGAAGTTGTGGGCCAGGTGGTGGAGCTCGTGCCGTTGAAGAAACAGTAGAAGCAGCGGGGGTGGGAGACGAGGTGGCGGACGAGGGACGTGGTGAAGGAAGGGGAGTAGTCGGATGCGAAGCTGTAGGAGCAGCGAGCACGATCGAGGAGGTTAGTTCACCGGTGGCGGATGGCGAGGTCTGCTGCGGCGACAGCAGTACCACCAACTACCACCACCGTCGTCATCACCTCCATCATATCCACCGTCGCCATAGTCATCATCGTCACCAGTGTCAGCAGCGTCACCGATGTCACCAACGAAGGGACAGTGTCGCTAGCAACGAGCTCGTCGTCGACGAGGAAGCCGACGATGAGGTTACCTGCCAGGATCAAACTGCCACCGATGCTGCTGCTGCTGCTTCTGCTTCTGCCGCTGCCGCTCATCCGTCTCATCGAGACATCCACCAGTTCCATCACCTTCATCATCATCCTCATCTGCGTGATCTTCATCAACGGTTACAGGACGATAGAACGCATCGCGATCGCGAGGATACGAACGATCGTATCGTTCGGACTAGCGAGCACCACTCGGATGGTAGGACCACCACCGACAACCCTGCCACCGTCACTGCCATGACGAGAGGATGCAGGATCCCGCCCTACCTCGCCACTTTACTCATCCTCTCCTACACTCTCTTCGGTATAGCAGGTCAGTGACAAATTTTATTTTTACTTTTTACTTTATATACATTTTACTCGTCTGTTAACACATTGACGGCCGTCAGCTACGTGGAACCTACAACCTACGTGATATTATGTGATAGAGTTGTACTTGAAAGGTGATAGGCTACATGTACGTGACACCGGCCGTCAAAGTGCAAGTGCATGCGGATTAGTGAGCTACCCCGTCTCTGAATACAATTCTTCGTAATAGTCCACTAATCCTTTCGTTATGTCTTACTCGAACGGCGAACGTAGGTCTGGGTTAAATACTATTCAGCCTTATTCATGCACTATTCGCTATTCAAAAGATCGCTATTGTAAAGTTCAATTTAGACAGGGCCGGCCCTGGGCCTAGACAGACTAGGCGGTCACCTAGGGGCCCCCACAGTCCAGGGCCCCCATAAGACCGGTAAGTATTATTGATATATGCAGATTATTTTAAATTTATAAGTAAGGTCCATATGCACTCACGTCACAAGAAAGGTTAAATTTTATCCATTTTTGTTATCCATTGAAAAAGGCATGGTTGTGGAACTTGATTACGAAAGCTTAATTGACGATTTTGCGTCTAATCGTAAGAATGCAAGAAGTCAATTATATTATTGGTACTTCGTTCGCTTCTCTCTTTAAAAGCGATACCATTGTCCACACTCACAAAAAGTTGATCTCAATTGAACGGGGGCGACGACAGATTGCAACACGTGCCGCGTTCTGCAACCCTGATGTTCCTTCAGCAATTATATACGTACCGAGCAAATTACTCGAATTCGAACACGCATGGCATTGTGTACATGCACGAAAGGGGTTGTAACAAATTGTGGCAAATTGACGGGTATTACGGTGCAACTTGCAACAGTGTTTACGAGAAACTAAACGAGACTTCTTCTTACACAAAAACGATATCCTTTTGTGCAAAGTACAAATACCGGTTGTATTATTTCTTTCTTTTTGTTGGACACGATACAAGATAGAGGGAAATTTTATTTCACCATTGTTGCCCGCTTTTTACGCAAAGTATTAAGAAACGATCGATAGCTATATTTGGGTAACGTATAAATTTTCACTGGAACTTGCTGCCCATTTAAATTGATGAAAAATAAAATTTCAGTTACGAAATTTTCGAGTCGATTAAACTTAGCAGTGGAAATGTTAATGGCGAAACGGGCGCGATATTGTCTGGCCTCGGTCTGCATCGTCGAGCCGTACGGCAGATTGCAAAATTATAACAGGTGACAGATAGAGCGTGGCTTGCACGGGCGGATGCAATATGCAGCAGCGGTCTTCTCGTGCACAAGAACACTCGAGAAGCTCATGCCTCCTACTTTCTCTCTCTTTCTTTCTCGCCGACTAGCAGCACGTTCGCGTGGCATGTGCAAATATTTCAAAGTTTTAGAATTGATCGATGGAATGTCGGATTAAGCAACGGATTTCGAGTGCCGGGCATTCTTTCGACCCTTTTTGCCCTCTTTGCGTATACACGCAAAGTCCTGTTGCACGCGAACCTACGGAACCCTCGATCGAATATGCAAAAGAAACTTGCACGAGTAATAAAAAGTGCCATTTCTAAATTTTCTTGGAAATGTTTAAAAATAAATGATGAATCGCGAGTAGAATGTCCTAATGAAAGAAGAGGACGGTTTTGATATTTTCTAGTAGAAGAAATAAATTATGCTTGAAACGTTGAAACGTGTCCGGAGTAATTAATCATATTATGTAAATAAAGGAAAATACGTAAGACGATGACGAAGGAACAAGGGGGTAGGAAAAGAATGGCTGTAGAGTTAAGTTTTTAGAGTAGAAGGGAGGATCGAGCACGAGCACTTAGGGCCAGCCCTAAAATACGGCCGTCCTTTGTGTTTGGTAAACCTGGAAGCCGTCGGAATTTCTAAAGCACCCATTCTCCCTCGTGGCCCTTTAATGGGATAAATGATGCTTGGCCTTTAGTCGTTACACAGCTTAATCGAGCAAATTTGCCGTTCGACCGCTTTCTCGCCGAGCTTTTTATCGATCCACCCTTAAACAAGACGATCATGATTTCACATGGACAAAGGGCTCCTTTTCATCGATAAATTGATCTGTTTTCGTGAAATCGTGTCGAAATATTTGTCCTTGTACGACGATCAGTCGTGTAAACGGCTCGTAAAAGGTCGGCGCTATTTGATTTTCTTTTTACATGGAACTTTAGTAAATATTAATGATTTGTTACAGACGCCTGTTCATCCCGGTCGACGCCGAAACCACGGCCACCGACGCCGACGCCTCGACCAAATATCACATTCCACATGTACACGTGTCCACCGGATTATGCGGAATGGTACTGCTTGAACGGTGCCACATGTTTCACGGTCAAAATCGTCGATTCCCTCCTTTACAATTGTTTGTAAGTACCACTTATTCGTTTTTCAAAATACTTTGCCGACAATTAAAGTGAAGTACATTTCGATGTTGCTCCACTAGATAAGCATCGAACTTCAATCCCTTTCGATCCGAGCGCCGTTCGGGTATTCCTTTTTATACCTGTTTTCGACTCGTAATTTCGTATTTTCGAAAGGGCCACGCGATCGTGACTCCGCAAGATTTACGACCACGTATAGTCATCCATTTGCCTTGATTTTCTCGTCAACAACACCGCCTTACCCATGCTCTAACTCGGTACCTTACTTTGAGGATCCTTATCAAGCTTTCACTATTTCTTGCAAAAAAGAGGTCTGCTTATCGTGTATCGTTTAAAGTTCTACGCGATAAGGAATCGTTTCGAAAGTCTAACGGCGATCGTTCTTGTTCCTGGGAAGAAAATTGTCTCGAACGGTGTGGAATGATTGCGACACGTTCCTATAATGCGTGGAATTTCAGCGGTGTTCGAGAAGACGCTTGGAATGTTACGTAATGAGAGACACACCCTTTGTAAATACGAGTCAAGTCACTCCTACATCGAACAAAAATATCGTTCACGCAAGTTGTAGCACAAAGATCGTATCAAGGTAACAATTTCTTCAATTAAGTATGGTACCTTCGAAAAATTGATAAAAAATAGGTCCTTTGTATCACGTGTTACGAATTTACAATTAGCGGAAAGGGTTAACGCGTCCTATAAAGAAGGTGGAAAGTGTTGAGAAGAGATAATTTAAAGCCAGAGGCGAATTCCCGCGGAATGGTCGTCCTCGTTTCGAAGGTGAAACTGTTGATAAATTCGTCCAGGTGAGCAGGCTTGACCAGACACGATTTACCGCGTTCCTTTGCACCTGTGCGGTCGGTAGACGGCTCGAAACGACCGAGACGAATTCTCAGAATCTCGAAATGTTCCCGACGAATGCCCGGCCGCGTGTACAAGTGAAAAGGATTTCTCATGGACTGGTAGGCGAGAAGGTTAACACGGGACCTTCCGTGAGTTCTTTTTTTTTTTTTTCTTGCTCACGCGCACCCTTCGTCACCCCTATTCGTCCGTTGGGGTTGAATCGCTGACACCGTGGTCTGGAACAATCGTGAACGATTCGAGGTCGAAAAAAAAGGGACCGTCTCTAAGGTGTCCTCGTTTCGATCCCACCAAACGCTAATCCTCGCTTGCGTGCCGACCACACGTAATACGAAATTCCTACGGGAATCTCATGCTGGACCACCTTCGGCTCACGATTGTACGAATCCCTTTTCTTCCTCTGTCGTGATCATGGACCGACACGTATCCACGTTTTCACGATTTTACGAGATACCAGGCCGTTGCTGGCCTTCGTGGAAAGATAACTCAGAGAGATGGTATTGTTCAATTAATGATTCCTTTGGAAATGATGGCTGATTCCAGTTACTTTTTCAGTCCATCTTTTCGCTCGTGACTGTCAACGATAAAGTTGCTAAGAAAATAGGACGATCTTGGGTTGCGTGTTTTTAGCGGCTCGAAGAGGAAAAGATTTCGTTGCCACACGAAATGGGAAGTGGATGTATTTTCGTGAGATTGGTCGAAATTTATGGTCGTGCGATAGGTATCAAGGTAGCATTTACTCGTTTACCTTCGAACGATCTTCAGGCCGATTCACGGTTGTTAGATTAGATTTGACGTAAATCCTCGTTAACCCTTGTGTGGGTAGTCAGAATTTTGCGATATTTTCATTAAAAAAAAGAAACATGAAATGACCGCCAAAAGTTTGATAATTTCTATTTTTAGTCCGCTGGTGTCTTCATACAGGAAACATTTATCTAATCGATCGATTTCTTGAAGACAGAGACTTTGAATCATGGTTCGATCGAGCCTGAAAATCCAGAATGTTTCACAACGCGTTGTCGGTTTATCAATTATTAACACATTCGCTGCCACTAAAGATACTATCGTTTAATGATCAATTCAAACTGCTGCTTCATGCTATTAGTACAATATTAATTCTTGAACAGTTGAGACAGTCGAGGAGTTAATACTGATTATTTTGATTTATTTCATTCTCTTGATAAATTGTCATCAGCCGTTCATGCGTTCCCTTTCTTTTCTCGTTTCAATTACTTTGTTACATTAAATTTGCGATGCAAGTCATCGGTAACCTTCGGGACGCGTTTAAAAATCGTTTTATTCACGATCGACGCGTTCGTGAAAGGAATTGGAAGAAATATATCAAGGAGGAGACTGATTCGTCCAGCGAGTAGATCGCATGTGCTACTTTTTCCTCGTTCGCGCTCCCATAACTTCCGCGGAACGAATAAGGAGGATTCCGTGAAGCGGACGGAGAAAATTCCTGTGGTGGAAAGTGCTGGATAATAAAACGTTTCCACTTTCTTGCGAGGACGGTGTTTGCTAACGAGATCACCGAGCTGAGGCCGTTCGAATGATTAACAGCCGTTCCGATAACGATCGACAAACCGCGAGAAGTAGCATTTTAACGAATGTTCTGCACCATTTGCACCGATCCGCCAATGTTTCTCCGGGAATGACGTCAAATGTGAGAAACATCGAAGAAAAAGTAGATTTACGTGATCCGGACGCGCGCAAATCTCTTCTGATCGTCGACACACCGGTTATAATTAAGTTCAGGACAGCTTAGGAAATCTACTCGAAGGCCGTTGATTAGATGGATAAACGGTGCCTTGAATTGTAAGTCGTTCGTGTAAATCATTGCAACACATGTATATATCGGTTAAATTCTTATTTTCTCGCTTTCGTTTCTTTTCATCATTTCTTCGCTTTGACGAAAGTACAATAAGGTTACCTTGTTGGTAACAGGACATGGTACAAGCACGACAAATCGTTTCTTCATCCAGTTGATAGAAACGCGTGAGCGTGCATGCGAGGCCTTGATCACGTTGCCTTCAAGTTTGCGGGACGAATATCGATCGACAGTCACCGATATCGATGATAAATGCTTTCCGGACACTTTTGCCAGCATTCGAGACATGCCTGTTGCGAAAAGAGACTACGTCCTCTCTTCTAGGATCAGCGTCGTATTAGCGTCGCGATGCGTGGGAGTAACGGAAGCGTTGCTCAAGTACTCGGTTCCGCGGTGGAAAAGAAGCGAACGAGCTGAGACGAAAAATGACCGAGACCCTTGCATCAGTGAAAGACAATTGACCGTGACTAAAGTCTGTCGGAGTGATCTCGTTATTTGGGAATAATGATTTCGATTTCAAAGAAAAAAAAAAATCACCTGATGATTTCAATTAAGGAAGGAACCCTTTAATAAAAATCATTAAATTTCTTAAAGATTAATGGTATCGAACAGTCGAATTTCCGTTTGAAGTTAATCGAACTCGAACAGTGCACTTAATGATACATTCGGCTAATTATTCCGCTCGAAGGGCGAATCATCAACGAAAGCACCGTTCGATCAAATCGACCGTGAGAATTCTTTTAATCATCGATATAATTACGAAGCCTGCAAATCGAAATGTTTATAAGTGTACCTTTTCTTCTTCTCTCCCCCCGCTTCTTCTTCTTCTTCTTCTTCGTTAATAATGAAGCATACTAATTAGGCGGTTCGAACGATAGCGTACCTATCTGATTAATGTCCGATACTAAAAGCGGTTCGTGGTTAAAGAATACGTTTTATGGCTTCCTGGATTTCTTGCCGCGTTTTACGGAAGTGCCGCGGCGGAACTATAAAGTCGACGTGCGTTACAATAGTTATCCACGATGCAGACACCGTCTGATCCAAGTTTTTTCTTTTTCTTTTTCAGATGCGCCAACGGTTATATCGGGCAAAGATGCGAGTTTAAGGATTTAGATGGTTCCTATTTACGTAAGTATCTGTTTCTTAAAATTTTACAAGTAAGTTTTTCCAGTAGCTAAGAATCAGATGTTACGTTACAGCTTCCCGGCAACGTGTAATGTTGGAGACAGCAAGCATCGCCGGCGGTGCCACGATAGCAGTATTCCTTGTCGTTATCATTTGCATAGCGGCTTACATCCACTGTAAGCGAAAGCAAAAGGAATTGCGGTCGAGGTGTGTATTTTCTTCTCTTTACTTATCTCTTTGCGTTGCCTCCTTGATCGATGGAACTTCGTAATTGTCCTGCAGTAAGCTGTACAAAGTTTATTTTTCAAAATAATTACTCGCAGCGTGCGTATCGCAGAATGTGTATTAGAAATGTAAAATCAAGTTGGTACAAAGTCACCTGGTCTCTATGTTTTTATGGTGCTTGATACACAAAAATTTCACATTCGACGTTATTTCTATGCCAACAGTAACTGCGTCGACACGGTGGATGGTCCTGGCCGAGATCCGGAGCTGAGGCCGTTTAGCAACCGCAACCGCTCCCTCATGATCTTCATGACCAAGAATCCTAATAGTTCGGTAAGGAAAGAATAGTTCCATACTATTTTACGTTATTCAAAGTATTCCTCTTTTTTTCCAATAAAATATACACATGTTCAAATAATTTTCGTTCCAAAAGTTATCGGAACGATATTGTACAAACGAAAGAGTAAAATAAACGGTGAAATGGTGAATGTTCTCAGGCGGCGATAGAGCAGACGAGAATGCCCGGATGGAACTGCCCGGAAGTGGAGTCTATGAGAATGGCGTCCATCAGCGAAGGCAAGCGTTCGAATCAATAATAGCCAATCTCTCTGTCGTGCCTAATTCCTACGACACGAAACCCGAGGCGTCTACCGTAGATCACCGAGACACGACGCGACTCGACTCGTCGGCGGAAGGAGGAATCACTTTCACCGGGCTGCTGTTTTCTGTCTCCGTCCATGGGACATGGGTTCTCCCTGTTGGCGTACGAATTATTCCGTGAACGCATTCGATGATTGTGACAACATCTCCTCCTCTTCGTCATCTATTTTCATTTCGTGCCTGTATATAAAACAAGCTCGAATACGCTCGTTCCTGATGCTTCGAAACGCCAGCTTTACACGAAGGGAAGCAAAATTTTGAAAGGAATGCAACCAATTGGATTTGAATAGAAGAATCGATATGTGGATTGGGATCCCCAGACCGATGAATCCGTGAGAAATCAGACGTACAGGATTAAAAAGGAAGTACGTAGCGCAACTTTAAATAGCTGGACTTTGCAGAAGAACAAAGGACGAGAAAGTAGAAGAAAGAAGGGAATGCTTAAAAATAAAACCCTGCTGAATAGATGGCTCGATAGAGAGAGCATTAGCGCGAAAGTAACGGAGATTTAAAAAAGATTTAAAAATACCATTTAGTAATTGTTCCTATCGGTGACTAGTTTAGAGCAGACAATAATAACCAGAGAGAAAACTAATTGCAGATGTTAGCGTGAGTTAAGACAAATCTACGAATTAAGTTATTCGACGATATCTTCGAAGATGAGCTTTCGTAACTATCTGTTTTTCTTCTATTTTTACTATTTTCTTTTTGTGTATACCACTTTTTTCCGTTTCTTCTAGTTTCACCTTCCTCAGCCTGATCGATTCATGGAAGTTTCGAGGTTCCTCGTTAATCAACGCCATTCAATCGCAAAAAATAGAACCATATCGAAAATGCTAGTAACGCTTTGAAATATCTCAATCGTTGAGTGCGTTCGCGATAAATTTGGTGTTTTTTTTTTTTTTTTTTTTTCTTCAACGCGTCCATCAAAATCAGGAAGAGTATTTACTCTACGTTCGACGAGAAACTCGTTCAATCTTCCTCGCAGTTTCTGTTAATTACTTTTCTTTCGCTGTCCATTGTGCCAGTTTCTACTCTATCGCGACAATAATTCGTGTTTCGTTAACGTTGATTCGCAGGACACAACTTGCCCTTCCAAGTGTTTCGTTGTAAATGTATGTAAAACGCGTACATAGTTTATTTAATATACAGACGTAATTATTTATTTCGTTTAAGCATATGTGTTTCGTTCGCACAATATACCGTCGTTTAATTTATTATCGAATTCGAACGTGTCGTTAGGCCTCGGTGGGAGTCGGTTCGTTAATTGTTCGTCGATGAAGAGAAAAACGATCGACTAAATTCTAAATAAAAATGAGAGGCGTCGATGGCGACGGTGTGGTTGGTCGTGGTCGATTTCTCGAATTTCGATGGTAGCGTTCGTCGCCTGGCAAAAACTTCTCTCCCTCTGTCTCGTTTGTAAATAGTAAATTAATCCGTGTGCAGGGCCGGCCGATTCGCGTTCTTCCGTTAAATTTATCTGACGAGTAATTAGGACGTTGTAGCGGACAAACTACAATCATGACGACGCTTGACAATTAAGCCGCGTGACACCGCGTTTGCCACTCGCAGTGACCTTTGACAAATAAATTTATCGGGACCCGAGTCGGCCGGGGATGGCAGGGTCGATTGCTCGCGCGGCGAAAATAATCCGAGAGACCCGAATTATCGATCGCGACTTTCAGAAATTCCTTAGGGGTCCTCCTGAACCCATTACCGCGTCGCGACGCCCGTCACCGAACGCTGCTGAAAAGATATATTAGCTCCTCCCGTAAGTAATGTCGTCGCTCATCTTGAACGAAATATCTTGAATTTTGTAACTTCTTCCCTCGCAGTTCTTTGTTTTGATCATTATTGAATTATTTAATTGAAAAAAGGCATAGCAAAACTGAAAATGAAAATTTTTTGAAAAATTATGTACATATGAGTAATTAAAAATAATAGCAAGTTGATTGGTTCACTTTGAGAAAACGGTATTATTTAAAGGGATGACCTAACAGTATATATAAATATATATATATATATATATATATTTAGGGCATCGTGTAACTGATAGCACAGGTAGAAAAATGGTGATACTTTATGCAAGAGTAATTTGAAAATGAAAAAGCTACATTTTACATTTTCAATTTACTTTTGCACAAGGAATTGCCTCCTTTCCACTTGTACCATCAGTTACATGACAGCCTGTACCTAAACGTTCTTTAAGAAACTGTCCTGTATTCCGATGGCGATTTGTATATTTTGTAGATACCGTGGAGTAGTGAGAAAGCTTCCAAACGCTTGAAAAAGAATCGTCTATAATATTACTTTCTCTCGAACGTGTCGTGAGCCGACGACAACGACGCTTTGTGGTTTCTTTGCTCGGTCGGGAGCTTGCGTTTTTCTCCTTTCGTTTCGAAGTTGTTTCTGTCGGGCCTGCCTACTGAAGGAGATCGAAATCGAAGCAAGAGAAAATAAAATTTAGAAAAAAAAAGAACTAAGGAGATCGAAAGAGTAGAAATAGAAAACGAGACACACGCAAGACAGGTTCCGACGTGAAAGGGAACTCTAGGTGGCCTAAAAGTGTATCACGGAGACGAAATTGGTATCGTGACCGTGTATATAATTTATAAATAGTCCTAATTAACGTGGAGAATGTAACTCTAATTTAATTTTTCCTATACCCTCCAACCCACCCCCTCGAATCATACTTCTCACATGCTTTGTACTTGGTTCCTAATTTATTCTTATTTTCATTGATTATTAATTATTACACAATTTAATTATTAATTACTAATTACGATCATTAGTTACGATCGTTTAATTATTCTCTCTCTTTTTTTTTTATTATTATTATCGATCACAGATTAATGTGTTTATTCCTAATGCTATCGCGTTATTTTGGTTAACGATATCGATTTAAGGACACACATACACACACACTTTATTATTTATGAGAAAAACGAGAAAAAAGCACGCAATGTCTCACGCGCAGAGCCATCGTATACTCTGGCACCTCTGTTGTTCTCCAATCGGTTGAAAAGCCATTCTTTTTTAAGTTCGTCCGGCTAACAGACATGTATTTGTTAGATTGAAAGGAACACTTCAACCAGTTCGCGTAATTGCTCCTGGCGAATGATAAATTTCCTTTTTTTTTTTTTATGAATAGAATTACAAAACATATCGAGGATAACGAGCAGTTACTCGAGCAACAAATGGCTGATTGTGGAACAAAAAGGGCCTTATAAAAAATTTCGTACGAAAAGAAAATCATAGGTAGGACTGGGAGTGTGTCAGCTTGTGGCGTTAATATTGCCGCGCGATCGAGTGATTGCCCGAGGCACGATCCTTTGGACTTAAGAAGTTTCTCCGATTTCCATTGAATCAACAAATTCAGTCTTTTTTTTTTGTTTCTTTCGAAAATTACAAATGAAAAGAAGAGGAGAAACGATTGATCCGAAGGATCGTCGTCGAGAGCAATGACTCGAGATCGCGATCTAAGGGACCGTTTAAACGTAGACAGTGGTGGCATTTTAATACATCAGACAGCGCCGTGGTCGTGCATCGCGCGAAGGCCAAGACGAAGAAGAGAACCGAAGAGAGGGAAAGAACAAGGAAAAGGCAGACACGAGAGGGTTGTGTTTTATCGGTCGATCGATAGAAGAAGAGTAAAGACGAAAGAAATTGTAATAATTTTTTCCTATTTTTTATGTTATTAGGGTGGTGGTCGTCTCATCGCGATCTATCCTTGAAGAAAGATCTCACGTCGAGGTTGGCCATCGTCGATCGGTCAATCGGTCAATCGGAACGATTCGAAAACACCGAATCACGGGAATTCACGGTGGAATTCAGGATCGTTCCGATCGGCTTCGTGACCGCTTTCCCTTTCTCTTCTTTCCTTTGTTTTCTCTTATTTGCTTCTTGTTTTTCCGTGTCTGTTTCTTCATATTATGTTTTGTTTCGTTTTAATTTCCGGACGGAAATCATCGCGCTCGGAGACACGCGAATGGTCTCCAAAAACGAAATTTTCTCGTGAATTGCGTGCGCTATTATGACGGCGGATGGTAGGTACCCCCGTTCGACATACCAAATCCGTACTCTCTCTCTGTCGCGGTATGCTGTTCGTTGTAAATGTACCAAAGACAATGTCGATTAACTGACAAATAAGTAGTTTATTTATCAAAGAAGGAAGAAGGACATGAAAACGAAAATCGAATGAGGACGCGTTTGCGCGCGTAGCCGCGTGCGCAGGCGCGCGCCAACGTTCCCTCCCTATAAAAGGGGAACGCGAACGATAAACGCGGGACAGTACGAAAGTTTATCTATCCAAAGGAAGCTGCTAAAGTGTCATTTAGCTAGACGAGATTGATCATTGGATCCGCAATGTTGTATCGAAACATTGTTATTATTTTTGTAAAGAAACCATGTAAATGTATTAACTTAGCGTGCTCTGCGTATGGAAGCTTACGGTATGTTGATTATTATTATTGCTATTATTATCTATTTTTATTATTATTATTATTATTATTATCTATTATTATTATTATTATTATTATTATTATATTGAAAGGAATAAAAACTTGTAATCTTGTTTCCCGAAACGTTTAAGCAGCACGTATATTGAGATCATAGGTTACTACTTGTACCCTTCGGTTATAATGTTTAAGACATTGTGCCACCTATTTTCCGTGTCCCTTTCCTTCGGTGATTATACGTAAAGAAAAGATTATTAACAAAAAAATGTAACATTTAAACGTTCCTTGTTTGTTTTGCCCGCGTTAACACTTAGGAATACCTTGCAAAATTTGGGGCGGATGAAGAAAAAGATTTAAAAAACAAACAAAAATAAAAAATCAATTTTCATTTTATTGTATAACAAAACGAATTATTTCATATCTCATCTTTTTTTTTATAAAAAATTAAAAGTAAAAAACATTTACATAAGGATATAAACACAAAGTTTTGATAGTACATGTTACAAAGCATGTTTCTTTGGTTTATCAAATTTGTTCCTCTTCTATACACAAAACCTTCAACATTATTAACTTGATTGATTTGAGGATACTTTGATAGTTATTATATTTACACACGTAATACAATGTTTGTTGGCTCTTCCGAAAAGATTATTCTCTTATACATATAGTGTTATTATACACTATACTAAATGTAAAAAAGTAAAGGAACTAAACGTGTTATATGTAAAAATAACGAGAGAAAGAACACTATTTTTTTTGCTTTCAAACATTAAAAATCATAAGGAATACTTCATCCAACAAATGGCAAAAATTAAATACACTTGATTTAACGAAGAAAGTTAACAAAAAGTATTTGAATCGTTAAATAGTATAAATTAATAAATATCACAAAATTAATATTGCCTATGTTTTTAAAAAAATACACATTACGTTTAATATCCCCCATGCTTTCCAAACTAGAGTTTATTCTTTCTTAAGTATTTGTTCCAGAAGACTAAGCTACGCTGATTGAATAAACCATTGAACTGTTTTTCAGTTCGATCGCAAAGAGGCTTAGCTGGCTTCCACGTTAACGTATTTTCCACTACCTTGTCAAATTTGTGCCTAGATAAACTTAACAATGCTGAGATAACACCCTCGTTTAGTTCACTTGATTCTGATAAAAAATAACACAGATAAAATGTTAAATATCAATAGTAAGGTATATAACATAAAAGAATAGAATATGTAAAATAAAAGTACCTTCGCTACCAGCCTTGATTAAATCACATAGTTGTTCTACAGTTTCACTGACTGAATTATCTTTATCTTCTAGTGGAAATACACGCATAAGATTACCTGTAATTACAAATACGAAATTATGAATATTATAATTAACAATAGAATATAATAATCAACTTACCAAGCAAACAGAGTCCTCTATACTCGCTTGGAAGTTTGTTATTAATAATCATTGGCAATAATGCGCTTCGAATGATATTCTTATACGCCCATGTTGTACCTTCCCTCTTTCCAAGAAGTATAATAGCGGTCTCAACTTCGACGTGAGATTTTTCTATAATATAAATTCGATCAAATTAATGAAAAAAACATTCAATGAATGGAATAGTATTTACATACCTTGAAGTGTTGTTAATAATTCATTCAATAAATCTTTTGACAACGTTTCTGAAGGATATTTATAAAATACTGATACCAAGTTCTTTAAAGCGTTGAGCTTAGGATAGTCTGTACCTTGTTGCCTCATGATGAAATGTGCCATGCATTTTGGTAACAATTCTGTATAGTGAAATAAAATTTGATTATTAGTTTATCTAATTAATTTCATATCAACTTAATAAATTGTAGAAAATGCTATACGTACGGTTACTTGTTTCGTTATTTGGAAACACTTCAGGCCAACATGTGAATACTGTATATAAAACAAGTATAGCATTAAGTCCCAAACAGTACAAGGCATCGCAACAAAATATCCTTACTTTTTCTCTATCTTTTTTAATTCGCGCTAGAATCGTATACATCCTAGCGAATGATTCTATAGCCGTTTTCTAAACATACAAAAACAATTAAGGTCAATTATGTTACTATATTTTATAAGATGTATTAAAATAGGGGAACTCATACCGTTACCACAGTATCAGAGTTAAGCCTGAATAATTTGTACTCGATACCAGCTAGTACCAATTGAAAAATCATTGGATCCCATTCTTCTAAGTCTACTAACAATGTCACTATTTTTTGTTGGTTTTTTGTCATTAATGGCGCTGGTGGTGTATGAGTTTTATCTAATGGTTGGCCTTCCGATATTGTAGATAAAAATTCTACAATTTCTCTGAAATTATATCATATGTTAGCCATACGTTTATTTTTATCATATTAAGTTATGATTTTGATACCAACTTTGCTATGATACGGGAACTGCCTACAGATTTCAATTTGTCTATTACATCACAATGCACTGAGATCCCCCAATCGTTATCTATAAGCCTTTGCAATTGTCTCTTAACGAATTTATCTGAAATAATATCAATAAATTTGTAATTGATTCTTGGGTTTTGTGTAAAAAATCAGCTGAAGGTAGTAGTCTTACCTGTTAGCATACGAACGGCTGAAAGTTCCTTATTTTGATTATAAGTCCTTTGAGATTTATTTTTATTAATATACTGTCGTAATTTCTGAAGTGGATCCATTGACTCCACTTCAATAAACTTACATTGTTTATTAGACTTTATCTTTTTAGTACTGATATTTTTCTTTACCCGTTGAGTATTTTTTTCTTTCATAATACTGTCTTGAACATTAATGGAACATTCTTCTGTTACACCTTCATTACAAGTATCAGCATCACTTTTAGGAGTAGGAACATCTAAAATCTTCATAGAGTCGCCACTTTCATTCAGAGTAGAATGTAAATCAAATTCATCACATGATTTTTCCTTAAAATTTTGACAACCATTAAGATCTTGTTGAAATAGTATACTTGTTTGCTCGTTTATACATTCACTTTCTTGAACTGAGTTTTCAATTTTCTGTTCCAATGATTGAAAAACCTCGCATTGATTGTTTGATTCGACCTCTGTTTCCATTGTCTCATTTACAGAGTCCTTAACATCAGATTCAATAATAGTATTAGAATGATCGCACTTATACACGCCTTCAAGATCATTAACATACGACTCATCGGTAATATTGGAATGATTGTAGTTATGTATGCCTACGTTTGGTGAATTTTTAATTTCTGATTCACTCGATACATTTTTAATATCAGGAGTAATTGTTTCATCTTTGTTACTTTCTACAGAATCTTCTATACTAGAATTTATTATATTTACAGAAGTTGATTTCAATTGCTTTGTTCCATCATCGTTTGTCTCCTGCAATTCATTATTGGTTTCACTCAATTCATTCAAAGTGATATCATACTTTTGCATTTTTGTATGATCTGCTGTTGTGTTTGAGACTTCATTATTAGCAGAAATAGTTTGTAATTCTATCTTTCTCTCTTCTATATTTTTTACCAGACATTTTTTGACTTGTAAAGAACTGTTTGGTGAGGTCGTGTGATCTGTTGTACTTTTAGGTACATGTGCGATGCGAGGTCTTTTTTAGGAACATAATCCTCTGTTTTAGTAATACTTGTATCATGATCTAAATTTGTCTGTTCTTTTGAACTACGAGAATCTTCATCTTTATGATTCAGTGCATCTTGATGAATAGAAATATTTTGAGATGTATTGTTTATACATTTACTATTTTTTCTCAAACTTCTTAGCTTTTTCAATAATTTTGCTCGTTTATTACAATTTTTTTGTTCTTGAAATTCGTTTATCTTCCTTTTTCTTTTTCTAACAGAACTAGTTGCAGTAGAAGTACAAGCATTGTCCTGGGTTATTACATCATGTGCTGCTTCTGTTATTTCTTTGTCTTCTATATTTTCATTACATTTATTTGGTTGTGATGGTGGTTTTAAACCAGTATTTGTTTCTGTCAGCTCATTAAATTTTGTTAAATGTAATACTGTTTTCATCGAAGGTCTATTTGAAAGCTTAGATTTCACAACGGGTTTAATATTTTTATTAGGATGTGATCTATTCTCTATGGAAGACTTAATTTTTGTTGTATTTTCATACTCTGCCGAATCTAAAAATGTGTTTGTGTTAGCTTCAAGTGGCATTAATTTACTGGATTCAACAGAGTCTGATAATATCCCTGAGTCAGTTTCACCTCCTATCGATTTACTAAATTCAACGGAATCTCGTATTGTTTCTATAGTTTCAGCTTCATCTAGGTCTGTAGAATGAGTAGAACTCGTGGTTGCTTTCAAGTCATTATTAGATATTATAATTGACTTAGACGTTTCTGTACATGGCGAATTTTTAGATTCTATGTTAGAATTTGTTTTACTAATAGTGGTATTTCCAAACACATCAGTGTATGAATTTGTATCGGAATCGCTGTTGGAATTTTCTAAATCTTCGCTATTATTTGATGAAATATCAACCTTGCTGAAAAGAGAATATCGACCTTTTCGCTTTTTAAGCCTTTTTCTAGAAGGACTTTGCTTAACTTTCTTTGCGGCTGATTCAACTTTCCAAGAGTTAGTGTGCGTATTTTGTAACCTTTTCTTAGGAGTTAGTCGATTCATTTTATGGTTATTTAACTTTTTACTATTACGCTTATGCGTATCGAAACGTTCTTTTTTCTTATCTTTGTTTTCATACAAATCTGCCATTCTTTTCCACATTTCCATGAAATTAAATTGCATAGAGCTGTTCATATCATACGTACAGGTAGTTGGGTGCTGATGTTGGCAGCAACTATTAGATCGTTTTGATTTTACCTTACTTAACATCTCTAACTTTGTTTCTAGAGTATCAATCTTTTTGTGTAAAGAAGAAATAATTGACAATGAAGATGCCACTGCTGCTATACTTTCAGATTGATTATTCTGATTAATTGCATTTAAATTTGTCAATGGCACGGAGATTACTGGCGTTGATCCTATATAAGTACCTGGAGACATTAAATTGGGTAGCGGCGGCATAAAGTTATTACAGTAATTGGGAGGATTCGATGAAACTGGCGTTGATGGGGTTAACAAATTTTGGGGAATAAAATTTGAATGATTGTTTTGGTTGTGCAAATGAGGAGATGTGTTTGGCAGCGTCGGTAGATTTTCAGGTTTATAATTATTACTGTTGATTTCTGAAAGCAAACAGTATTAAATTTTATTTTTTCATGTACAGATATGTATACGCGAATAGTTTAATATCTTACCGCGTGATCTTCCTAAAGGAGTCGATACTTTTTTCGGAGATGAAATTTTTTCAATAAGTTTTGGACATGAATTTGTCATCATTTTACATATTTTTTCATGTGGAGGAGGTTCTAAAAGAACTTCGCATTTACCGCAGAATACAGGATACACATCTTCTTTAACATTGTACGTTTCATTGGTAACGACACATTTCTCGACAGTTTTTGGTTTTTGCCGTATTTCATCACGAGTTAACTCTGTATTGATTCCAATCTCTTTTACTTTTGGTTCTATAAATAAAATAAAATTATTTGCAAAATTAAAACTATTCAAAATACCATACTTCCTTTCTATAATTGTATTAACTTACTATTATCATGTTCTGTAGGGATTTTCTTCTCTATCTTCTTGATTTTTGTATCATACGATTTTTTTAAAGTTTTTAATTCTTGTTCTAATTCTTTGACTTTTTCTGCAATAAAAAATTGAATTTAATAATTACTTATGATAAATACATTACGTGATTTACCTTGAAGTGAAGACTTTTCTAAATCATATTGTATAATTTTATCATCTTCATTCTTTTTTAAATCCTCTATTTTGCATATTAATTGTTGTATATGTTGCTGATCTGCAGCTGTTTTTATCTTCTGTTCATTTGATTGTTCTGTTAGAGATTCAATATTCTTTTTATATTTTGTATTCAGCTAAAAGAGAAACATTAACTTAAAATGGAATGGAGATAGTATTATAAAAGAAATATGCATACACTATGTACTTTTTTTACTTACAAGTTCTAATTTAATAACTTTTGCTAATGTAGAATTATAATTATAAGTTGCTTTATTTGCTACTTTAGTTGTTGTATCTAGTTCTGTTTTCAATCGTTCACATTCTTTCTGCTTATCATTATACTTCCTAGTTAATTCACTGAAACAAATTGATTTATTAAAATTAGTTAATTGATACATGTACAAAGGAAATCTTTATTTTGGAATACTTACTCAGTTCCAAAAATTTTTTTCTTCAACAACAAATAGGATTGTGTTAATTTCTCTTTGCTAGAGAGATCCTCCTAAAATGAAACCAATATTTAGATTTAGAGTTTTTAAAAATTAAAACTTACGAAGGCGGGTTTATTCGTAACCTCCATTTGTAACACTGAAGAATGACTGATAGTTTATTTATAATATACTAAATTATAACAGTTGTTCGATATTCTATAATCGTATACTAATAATATTAAAGAACGGTCATCTATTTATGTTATTAGGATTATATTTTCCTTAAGTAATAATATTGAATTTACAGGTAGTATAACCTCAAGCTAACCTAAATGTCTGATCCAACAAAATTTTATTCATAGAAAAATCTTTCAAAATAAAATACCCACTTGAACGATTTCACTTGCTTTTATATCTGGAAGATTATTATCCATTTTGAATCAAATGACAAATAGTATTGCTTATTTTAGACTTGTTTGTATTTTCGAATGCCGAGCATAAAACACGTTTATGCGGCATTCAATTTTGATGTTTACAGTTCCGGTTAGGTACCTAAGGTTAAGTTAGATAATTCTATAGTATATTCTGGTATATTTCTCCAAGTTAACAGGAACACTATAGTAGCGAAAAAACGTATTTGTTATTTTGACATTTCATTACATTTGGAAAAACAACAGAATTCAAACTTCAAATAATTATAAAATATTAAAGAAATGTTACTTCACAGAAAGTTACAATAGATTGTACGAATGAACTTTCCATAACATCTTTTTATTTTGATTAACCTTTTATTGTTTACTTTTATATAAAAAAATAATATTATGTAATATGTTTTTATAATTGGGTTTTACAATAAAAGTAGTGAATTTCATTAATTAATCATGGCAAGTGAAAGTAGTATAGAAATGGATCAAACTTTAGCACAAAGACTTTTAGTTGAAGGTGCTGTTTTAGTTGTATTAAATGTACCAATCGGTACAGAATTTGGAATTGATTTAAAATCATGGAATACAGCAGATCATTTTAAAGGTATAAAAATGATCCCACCAGGATTTCACTATGTACATTACAGGTAATTTAATTGTATTTCATAATTTATTACTAGTAATGTAATATTTACATTTATATATTTCTGTTAAAGTGCTGTGAATGAATTTGGAGAAGCAACACCTAAAATTGGTTTTCTTCATATATTTAAGAAATCTGAATTTTTAGTCAAACAGTGGGATGCAAAAGAAGAGGAACTTAGTTCAGAAGGTATAATATTTAATACGCGAATAAATGAGATAATTCTTTCATGGGGTTGTATGTTTTACATAAAGATGTACCAGAAGAAACAGTTGGAAGATTGAAGGATCATTTAAAAGACTTGGACAGATTTCTGGGATGTTATCCTTATGATGTATGGAAACAATGGAAGGAGTTAACAAATCATATTACTTCTGCTGTTGTGGAACGTTGTTCACCCATATGTGGGTATGTACAAAAATTACATAAGTCTTATTTATGTTTGTTTTGTTATTTACAAAGTCACACATGTTGTTTCAGCTTTGTGAGATCTGCTTTGGAGTTAGAACACTGTAGTGATGCCTTAAGGCCAAGAGGTGGAACATCAAGTCCAAAAAGAAGAAGAACAGGTGGACTTACTATAGAAGAAAAGGAAAAGGAGCTACTTCCTGATATGAAACCTAGGCCAGGTACAGAGCTTAGATTATCAGAAATACCTGATAAACATTATCCTGATGGAGCATCACCAACTGAAATCACAAAGTACTGTCTTGATGCTAGTTATGCATTGGACAGTGTTCTTAATAAATTAGCACTGTAGGTGATCATTTAAGAGAGATGTTTCATATTCTTATATTATTTTGTTATTCTATACAATAATTTGTTTTCAGTCCGATGGAAATTATTGGCGAAATGCAATTGGCATTCGTTTGCTTTTTGGTTGGCCAAAGCCTCGACGCTTTCGAACATTGGAAGAAACTCGTATCTCTTATTTGCGGAGCTGATTGTGCAATATCACAGCGTCGCTCTATTTATTTCGAATTTATGAAATCGCTGGAAATTCAGTTAACCCATGTACCTGAAGATATATTGTGTGACATTGTAGTTAACAATAATTTTATTTATCAAAGCCTTCGAAAACTTTTTGCAAATATTGAGATCAATTCTGAGTTGGACGGACGATTAAAGTCTTACGCATCTCGATTTCGAGAACGATTACAGACAAAGTTCTTGTGGAATTTTTCTAACTTGCAAGATGAAGCTGAAGATGATGCACCGGTTATTGTATCTTTAGAATAAACAACTATACTTTTAATCTACTTTATATAACACGATGTACTGATCTCTTGTAAATAAATGTAATTTTAATATTAGTTAACAAGGAGTGGTAAATCAAAAATTGTTACATTTAATGATATCAATTTTATTCGGAAATTAGATGAGAACAAGTATTTTAGTGAGTATCAGGATAGCATTTACATTTTAAGAGTATTTTGATCAAATTAAGTCACAATTTCATGTAGGTGTCCTTTAAGTCTGCTTTATCTAGGTTTGCATCCTCCTTAACGAAGGCGCTAAAACAAATAATATAAACATTTCACATAGAATTCATTACATTTTATAATAAAATTAAAATATATTAATAATTACCGGATGTGGTGGAGGAGGTCGAGGCATATATATTGGTTTGGTTCCAGGTTCAGGTTCCGGATCGGCTTCACGCCTCAGACGCTAAAATAAGTTAACAAAATATTTAATATAGCGTTTAGTTAATGTTAATTTTAATCAATTTAATTGATACTATAATTAATAATTTACCGGATGTGGTGGACGAGGTGGAGGAACATATACTGGTCTACTAGCAGGTTCAGGTTCCGGATCGGCTTCACGTCTCAGACGCTAAGATAAGTTAACAAAATATTTAATATAGCGTTTAGTTAATGTTAATTTTAATCAATTTAATTGATACTATAATTAATAATTTACCGGATGTGGTGGACGAGGTGGAGGAACATATACTGGTCTACTAGCAGGTTCAGGTTCCGGATCGGCTTCACGTCTCAGACGCTAAGATAAGTTAACAAATATTTAATATAGCGTGTAGTTAATGTTAATTTTAATCAATTTAATTGATATTATAATTAATAATTTACCGGATGTGGTGGACGAGGTGGAGGAACATATACTGGTCTGCTAGCAGGTTCAGGTTCCGGATCGGCTTCACGTCTCAGACGCTAAGATAAGTTAACAAATATTTAATATAGCGTTTAGTTAATGTTAATTTTAATCAATTTAATTGATATTATAATTAATAATTTACCGGATGTGGTGGACGAGGTGGAGGAACATATACTGGTCTACTAGCAGGTTCAGGTTCCGGATCGGCTTCACGTCTCAGACGCTAAGATAAGTTAACAAAATATTTAATATAGCGTTTAGTTAATGTTAATTTTAATCAATTTAATTGATACTATAATTAATAATTTACCGGATGTGGTGGACGAGGTGGAGGAACATATACTGGTCTACTAGCAGGTTCAGGTTCCGGATCGGCTTCACGCCTCAGACGCTAAAATAAGTTAACAAAATATTTAATGTAGCGTTTAGTTAATGTTAATTTTAATCAATGTAATTGATATTATAATTAATAAATTACCGGATGTGGTTGAGGAGGAGGTCGAGGAATATATAATGGCTTGGTCCCAGGTTCAGGTTCAGGTTCCGGTTTGGCTTCACGAGGTACCCGCTGGAATGAAAACAGTCACCAGTGATTAGTTATATGTTTCCTACTATGAGTTTTAATTACTGTTTTAAACTATATTGAATATTAATTTCGTTATACCAGATAGGATGATTCAAGTGCCTCTTCCCCAAGTACTGTGGTTGCAAAGGCAATCCCCAGAATTGTCAAGATAAAAATAGTCTTCATTGTTAAAGTGTCTTCGCACCTATATAATAATTTGTTAATTAATTTAATAATAGTTGAATAAGACATGTAATAAACTGTGCAATTTTTACACGAATAATTAGTTTAATATATAATTGTATCTTACCAGTAATTGTCAGGCTGTGGACAGTTTCGTTGATTGAAGAAGACTGATGTCTAATGCACTGAACTGCATCGTATTTATACAAAGTGTGTAAAGCAAAAATATGCGCTTGAAAGTTCAAGGGTACGCGGTACATTATTCGGGAATCACCGACTACGCGGCACTCATGTATGATAACAGACATTTTTTTTTGCGATTTTCCTCCATTCACTCTTCGTCCAGTATTATCTCCTTTACATTCTTCTGTTTTCTTTATCAATAATACACAATATGTGCTCAATTATCATTATCTATTTTTTTTTTCATTACATTATATGATAATTGGAATTTCCAGAAAAATTAATCTTTTATTTTCAAAACAAAAGCCTTTTTTTATGAATTGATTTTATGAAATTTGGAAGCAATATATTTTTAACAATTTTTATTACAGACAATGAAAAAATGTTAAATTGTTAATTAAAGAAATAAGTTGCTTATGACCTAAATTACGAGCAGTGCGTGCTTAGTTCAACAGTCGATCGGGAATCACCGCGACGGTATCTTAATGCTAATAGATAAACACAAGGTTTTCCTCATTGGATATCTTCTTACAGTATACATAATTTTTAAAACAATGATCTTCATTATTTATACACATTATTCATAGTCCTCATTACTCATGACAACTCGTTCGTTTCCATTCATTTGAACGTTGTTCTTTCTAAAGACTGTATCCTACGAACCTTTCAAGTTATAAGATAAACGCATTTTAATTATATTAGAGTATTATTGAATAATTGCGAATTACTTTGTTAAATTACTAACACTGTTTTCTTTTTTAGGTGGAAAAAAAATGTTTCCGCCCGGGATCGAACCGGGGACCTTCCGCGTGTTAGGCGGATGTGATAACCACTACACCACGGAAACCGATGGTAAGAAACTTTTCATAATTTCTAGATTCATTAGTTTTAAATAATATAACAAAATATTCTCTTTACATGAAATTTTTATATAAAAATTTGCAATTAGTTACCCTTTAGCTACCCTTAAATGAAAAAAGTCAACTAGTTATACTAATTACGAATGTTAATCATTACATCTATTGACCGTAGGTATTTGATAATAAAACATAAACCAAGCCATATTATTTCTCAACATCCTTTATTTTGTAAAAATTAAAACAATTACAAAATAATTGAACTTAAAGTGCATAATTATTTAGGAACTGATTGTGCGTTATTTTCAAGGGCCCGTTTCTCCTCTGATAATAACGTGACCTTCTCCTCGTATTTCTCTCGTAAATCACGGAAAAGACCCAGCTGTGTCTCGTATTCTGTTTTCAAATCTGCGTTCAATTTAACTGCCGCGTCCATCTTATTGATCATCGTGTTATATCGGTCACGTTCTTCGTTAATTCGAACTTCCATATCATCCACCTCAGCCTACATAACATTTCAACATTCAATTACACGTTTATGTAGCTTTTCAAATTCTCAAGAAGTTAAAAGTTTACCTGTAGATGCTTAACTTCCATGTTGCGTATCTGCAACAGACTCCTAGTCAATGACTCCACTTCCTTCAGTGAAGCAACCTGGCTGTTCAAGGCGCTAATTTGCTTCTCCTGATTAGCAACCACGCGAATACGATCCTCTAATTGTAACGAAGTTTGGATCAGTTTATTTTTCAATTGATCCACCATTCGTCGTAACATCACCTCGTCCCCTTCGCCCTTCATCAAAGCATCATAGGATGCTTGTAACAAAGCCAACTTCTTCTCGGTGCCTTTCAATTTTTTCTGATAAGAATCTCGTTCCTCAGAGGCTTTCTATGAGCGCATTCAAAAATTGAGAATCTCTATCAAATGATCTGGAGAAAATTACGTAGTTACGTATTCTTACTTGGAACTCTTCCTTTAATTTCGATACCGCGAGTTCATCCTCATTCTCTTTCTTATCTTCCATCGACGATTTCTCGTCGGATTGCGGTGTCCGATTATTTACAGTCGCAGCTGCAATTTCTTCTTGCGTTTTTTGAGTATTGGCATTTTCATCGCGTTGCGGAAGAGCGCAAGTGTCTCCGGCGCCGATTGTTTGCTGCTGAACCTCGGGGACAGCTGGCTATAAGGACATGAGATGTTAAGAAAACGTGGGTGAAATTATAACATGTTATAAATTCAGTACGCATTACCAATTGCTGGACCTCAGAAATTTCTGAAGTCACAACTTTCTCCGACGTTTCTCCTGTAGATTCGTTCGCAGCTTCAGGAACAGCCTTTGAATTTTCATTAGAAATCTCTGCTTCTTTCGTAGCCACTTCTATAGCTTGATCGTTCGTGTTACTTGGAGCCGTAGATTCAGTGCATCGCTTGTCTGCATTTGGTTCCTCCACCGCGGGAAGAGCTGCATTCTCAGCGGGTGCGTTTTTCGTATTGTCGTTTTGATCAGATTTCATTAACTCAAACGCGAGGGACTCTTGATTGACGGCTGGTTGGAGCGGCTCGTTGTTTGACATTTTTATCTGCAAGAAGTGTCACTTTTACATATTGCACGCGCAGCTAGAACAGAAGAAAATCGAATTTGTTTCTTAATCATTTTCACCGCCTACGATTGCGATGCGATCAAATTTTTCGAGCGTACGATTTTATGAACCATTGCATTCTATTTGTAACAAATTGTAATGTTATACAGGATATTTAATTCGTTGCTGGTTAAGAACAGTTTAGTTTGAAACTTTAATCGGTCATGATGAGAACAATTATAATATTACCGAAAGTCAGTAGAAGCAATGACACGCTTCTAGAAAAATGATGTTCCCGTCAACTACGATTGTTACTTTCACCCAAAACGACTGGATATCCACGACTAACCAAAGGTATGATGTATTTTTGGACATTCTCCGCTGATTCTATTTTAAACTATCTTAAATGTGCGCCAGTCTATAGTCCAGCCGGTTGCAGGCCGTATCGCATATTTAAATCGAGTTACTTAACATAAAAATGTTCCATCAACCTTTTGTTTAGGGTGTAAAAATTGAATCGATTATGTAATCGTATATATATCAAATTATATTATATATAATAGACGTAATTGTATGGTAATTTTTATTTAGAAGCATCGTGCAATGTGAGACGGAATTGAGGCATCGTTTATATATACCGAGGAATTCAAACGTAATCATGAATATTTTTAAAGGGAAATAAATTGATAAATCATTAAATAAAAAATATCTAAACTGCCCTGGAAAAAAATTGGATATTATATCCCATTAACATTAGCCGTTTGGTTTTTATACGATTACAAAAAATTGCATTTATAAGGCGATTCATTAACGTAGTTACAGTCACTACAGTGTCGTGCACGGGGCATCTTTCTTCCTCGGCAGTGGAAGTATTTAAAACGAATTTTATGGTAAATACGAAATGAACCTTCAATTTTCATAATGAGAATAATTATCTGAACGGATGATTAACAGTTATTAGAATTGTTATACGCGTGTTAATAAAGCGTGCACGAGAATTAAGTACATAACCTCATCCTATAATATATATTATTTTTCATATCTGTTTTTTATAAGGTCCATGAAGACGTATACGAATGTTATTTTTACGTAACACGTTCGAATAAGTAAATTGTGTTCAAAAATTAAGTTAAACAAATAATACTATCGTTTTAAACTTCAAAAGTGTTGGTGTTAAAGGTTATTTTTTGGTAATCTTTTCAGTATAGATTGTATCGAGCGAAATGCGGAATATAAGTTTACGAATTTAAACCATGTGTACAATTTCGATAAATTAAAAAGTACTTAATATTTTGCCCTATTTTAAAATTAATGAGAATCATATATTAACATATAAATGTAAGTCATAAAGTAGCATAGAAAATAAATAAATGTTAATAATAAAATGTATTAAAATGTTATGTTGTTTGAATTTAGTGTTTCTTTTATAGAATATCAATTGAGGAATGGAAGAGTACGCGAGAGAACCATGCCCCTGGCGTATAGTAGATGACTGTGGTGGTGCATTTACAATGGGTGCCATTGGTGGTGCTGTATTTCAAAGTATTAAAGGTTTTCGTAATGCACCCAGTGGAATAAACAAAAGGCTTCTGGGAAGTCTAATGGCTATTAAACAAAGATCCCCAATTATTGCTGGAAACTTTGCATTATGGGGAGGTATGTTTTCAACAATAGATTGTACATTGGTTCATCTTAGGAAAAAAGAAGATCCTTGGAACTCCATAATTAGTGGAGCAGCAACTGGTGGAATATTAGCAGCAAGAAATGGTTTACCAGCTATGGCTGGTAGTGCAATTATTGGAGGAGTGTTGTTGGCTTTAATAGAAGGTGTTGGAATATTTATCACACGTTTATCTGCGGATCAGTTTAAACCTCCATCTTTCACAGAAGACCCAACGCATCTGGGGCAAGCATCTCAGGGTCATCCATCATAAAACATTATAAATACTTAGACACATTTCAAATTACACTCAAATAATTAAGTACAAATGTTTCATATTGTTTGAAACAATAGTAGTTGGAAGCTATCATATTGCCAGTGCATCAAATTTGTATAGACAATTCAACTCTTTGATTTAAGAAATAATAATAGTTTGGTTTTTATTTAATGTTGTTTCTGTATTTTATTGAACTGTTAAAGGATAAGACAGTTAGCATAAAGATAGCGATATATGAATAAGAAATATATTTATAAAAATAAACTGACAATTTACGAATTTTAGTTTTACTTTTTATAAAAAAGTAAGCTTAACAAAGTAATTAAACTATATCATAACTAATATGTACATAATTTATATTCCTTTTAGGTTATAAGATTCACTTAACTATTGTTAAATGTCATCTTCATCTTCCATTTCTTCCTCGTAATGCTTGAAAGTTGTGGCTACAGATAAATCCAGAGAGTTATTTGTGAGATCTTCTTGATTATCATCTACTGATTTGTGTGACATGGGTTGTTCTGCACCTCTCAAAGATTTATTCATTAATCCCAGTAAGTGAAGCTGTTCCACCTTGAAAATTTTGTTACAAAATATTGTTGTATATAACAAAAAATGTAAACTACAAATTACAGATATATTTACTTGTAATCCATGTATCTGCTTATCAATCTTTATCAGCATATTTTGAAGAAGCTCTTTTTCTTCTTTCAAATCACGTTGGTAAGCAAGTAATTCGTTGGTATTTACTCTTGCACTGTATTTTTCTATATTTTCCATTTCTCAATCCTGTTTTCCTATTTATTGACACAACCTACATTAAAGCAGACTGCGTAAATCGCATTCAATCTTTGTATTACAATGTTTTCATGTACCTTTTTGTTGTAGATAACACGCATAGAGTTTATAGAACTTATAATTATGAATCATATGGAATGTCAATATATTATATTCATAAATTCATGAAAATTTATTTGTAATGTTTCACAATACAACACATCTGAACGTCGCTCTTAATATTCTGATATTACACTGCTACCAACTCAATAATTTAGTATGAGAAAATGGCGATATTAGGAAAAGCAGGAAATACTTCGTCATTCTCCATAGTAACGCCCACAAGGAGGGGCGGGATATATAGCCATCTTTCCCGAGGAAGTCCACCATATTGGATACTGTAAGATATTTAGAAGGTTGGTCAACCTGAGTTTCGAATATTCAAGAAAAGTTTATAAACGTGCCGAGGAACGCAACATTTTGAGAAATAGATTACAGACTGTTAATATTAAATAGACAGGTAAAGTGCATGTTTATTCTAATTTTATTCTTTCACTTCCAAATTATCTCATTTCGGAATTTCAATGGGATTTATGAGTTTTCTTTACAGAGTGATATAATACTTTATTCTTTCTACAGGATTCTATGTAGTACTACAGAATAATCACAATTTATTATATTTGAATTCATTTAGGTACAGAATTTTTTTAATGAATCTCAATATAATCCATAGAACTATAAGATTACATTACTTTGTTAACTTTCAAGTGATGGAATTAAATTAAATAGAATCAATATAAGTCTTGCTACCATTTTGAAAGGATTTCATTATACAGTTATCCTTCTGTTCTTGCATTTTGATTATATATTTTTCTGCTGTGTGTTTTTTTATAATATTTTACTGTATAATGATGAATATTTCATTGATGCAAGATTTATATTAGATTTTATGTACATATACATACAGATTGGGAGCACAACTGCTGTTATCATGCTATCATTATATGATGGTTGAATTTCTCAAAAATATGAAATTTATGATGTAGTTTTACATTGATTCATATGTTTACATCGAATGATTAGTTAGATTTTTTTAACTATTTAGTTTATCAGAGATATTAGATTCAATTCTGAACTTGTTACATATAGAAAAAGAATAGTAAGCAAAACAATGATCAGAAACCATTGGAATGACAAAGGTGATAACATTAAACAATAATTGTCCTCACCAAAAAGAAGATTAATCTCTAGATGCTAATAAGGAGCATCCTAAAATAGTATTTTCACAATCTTTGTACATAATAAGTGTTGATTAATCATTGGTATTTATACTTATACATATAAATATTGTTATACCATTTACAAAAACGGATGTATACGGTAACCCTCTAGGATTAATTTCAATTTCATTTAATTTAAAATTAAAAAAAAGGATAATAAATAGTTTACATAAGAATCAGTACACACGTTGTCGAATTTCTCTATGCTATTATCTATTAATTTTGATAATTCATCCGAAGATTATGTTAGATATATCATTACAATAATTCTCTTTCGATCAAATTTCTATTTTACATTTATTTTTGGGATAAGAATCGGTGTTTGCTGCTGCAGCAAGAAAATTGGTTTCGAATTACCATCCGAGTCACGCGAATTAAAATAAGATTATTCTTTTTTTTTTAATGTTCACCAATCATCGTTAAGTCGCAGACCGTAAATTCGTTCGTTGCTGCAGCAAGGAACGCGTCAATCTTTCGACGAAGAGGGTGGTGATTCCCGGCTATTGTCGTTTGTAAAATTAGATAAACCAAGACCACTGCTCGCTTCGTGAGTCGAAGAATTGGTAGGTGAATTGCTGCTACTCCTGGCACCGCCGAGTGGCGCCACAGTGGTGTTCTCACTTGGTATAAGACCCTCCTTCATTCTCTTCTTCTGTTTCATCCTTCTGTTTTGGAACCAAATTTTCACTTGCGTTTCGTTCAATTGTAACGCTGATGCGATCTCGATGCGCCTCGCTCGAGTCAGGTACTTATTAAAATGAAATTCTTTTTCTAGTTCGGTGAGCTGTTTGTTGGTGAAGTTGGTTCTTCCGGTGTTGTTGAAGCCACCTGCGATGCCGACCAGAGGTCCACCGGTAAGACAGCTCACTGGTCCATTTGCGGTGTTTGTATACGCAGATGCGTTCCCGCCACCGATACTGCTGCCACCGTAGTCTCCCACGCTTGAATTTGACTTTGCTGCTGTAACAGATTTCCATTTCCATTTTATTCAAAGATTTACACAAGGTATCTTATTCCATAAAGTTCGCTTTCGTTTATTAATATGATCGATATAACAGAAATGATGACCTTCGCAATGTTGCAGAGGAAGAAATGGAAGACAAAAGTGCAAAGGTCGTAACATTCACGAAATATGCAGTCATCAAAGCATACTTCGCAAACCTGCCTGTAAAACAGCAATTGTTTCAACATAAAAGAAATGTAAGAATACTAAAGGTTTCATTTACACTAATATATCAAGCAAAGGGAGATTTGTTTGACTTATACTCTTCTCGATCTTAATTACGGAACGTCAGTGTCCTACGTACGTGTCCAACGTGTCCACGAAAGAGTTAAAGCCAATATACGAGGAGTTAAGCTCAAGTTTAATCCATCGACCGACAGTCGTTTGTTGTCCAACACAGCTGGTCAGTGTCCTAAGAAATCAACCTGTCCAGCCTACACAGAAGACCGATAGGGTTGACCCTCCAAATCTGGATCAAATTGCATCAGCTGTTGCCGGATGTCAAAGGTAAGTCATTACGTCATTTTATTTCGCCCGTATTTATCGTACGACCATCATGGTCATTCTGAAAACTGCATCATAGCCAATCGTCGACGATTCTACAAACGCTAGAATTTTTAACGTAAACGTGAAAACGGGTAATCGGGTACTTGGTTATTAACCTGAGAGTTAATATCGGTATAATCTTCATTAACACGGTACACTTGAAGATAATGTAACGTAGTAAGATAAGGACGAAGAGAAGCGTTGCGTTTCAATGAAAAACGGTGACGTTGTTTACGCATTATGGAAATTAGATTGTTATTTAGTCTACCGGTATGTGGAAGTCAATTTACTTAATGGCAAAGGGTGGACGAAACTGTCAAGCCACCGCCTTAGAGCCACATCTTCTATTTTTCTTGTTCTTCTTCTTTTACCCTTGTTTGCCTGTATCATTTTTCGCCTTCGTTACGCAATTTTTTTCATTATAGTCTGTCTGTTAATAATAGGCAATATGGTATGTATGTCTTGGCTGATTTATTTCGTACACGAAACAAACCTTAGGCCACTGGATTTTCCGAATAATCCGTAAACATCAGTCACTTAAGCAACGTGTCTCGAACTTGGCCAACGGCCATTAAGCTTACGCATCTTCAAGCCGAATAATCGAGTTGGACAAGTTCTATTAGTCACCGGCCAACGTGATACGATGAAATGTTTTCCGTTTTCGTGACTCATTCATCAATTTAATACCTTAACTGGAGGACAGAGTCTGTGGTCGTTGATTTTCTATACGCCAGTATGTTGGATTTCGGTAGCCATAGAAATCTTTGTACCTTTAAGATATGGGGACCAAAAAACTATCTAGAAATATTCAGAAATTTATACTAAATCTCCTCGATATAAGAAATTTTAATAATTTCAATTCAAATAATAACAAGACACTTTACAAAGCTCTTAAGCATAATAATTCTCTTAGTAATCTTTGTTTCAACACAAAAAGAGCGATATAAAATTATACGAGCCGTATAGTTTCATAGAATATGAGTCTGCCAAGGTGTTAAGAAACCTATGCATAATATCTCTCCATGTAAATAGCAACAAATGTATTAAAAACAAGATTTTCAGTAGTATAAAAAAAATTCATATTTTTAAAGGAATTATTTACATATTTTCTAAAGACCGGTCAGAAAGTCAATCGACCAAGCGCAGTTAAGCACGCTGTTAAACATGAATGTAATTCTCTAACACTTGCACGAGCATACGGGTATAAACTAAGCTTCGTGCACGTGTGTTACGTGAACACATAGGTAACACCTAGCCAGCGTGGTTTCGATGCATGCATGCCAGTCCGGCTTCGTTCAAAGGCCCCCGATTAAATCTCACCTGGCTTAATATTATTATTTTACGTGGCGCCTGCGAGTGAAAACGACTGAAACTAGTGAACGCTGGCTTGTCGAGGAAATTGGAAAGAGAGGAGAAGAAGTTGGTAGAGATAATGTTCGTGGATAAACGTGAACAGAATTCACTATGTGAAACGTTCTTCCTTGAGCAAATTTCATTGATAGAATGCAGTTTTCTGCGGATCATTTGTTACGTTTTTCTATAGGTTTGAGTGATTCCTTATCTTATGAATTTTTGGCAATTGAGTTAATTATTCACTGTTACAATATTAACTGACTTCAAATCATGGGGATAAGTTGGGTAGGTTAAGGGTGTTTGAATCTTCCTAAATCGCGTCGATAACAATCATGGTTAATAGCAATAAACTAATCCGTCGATCCTGCTGGATCATCTGCCCGCAGATTGTGTAAGGACCCTCTATTTTAGAGGAGCATTACGCAATTCAAATATTATTCAAAGGCTAAAAGCCAGGGTGCAGGGTGTAGGGTGCAGATGACGTAAGGAAACAGGGGTTGAAGTGTGTGCGTGCGAATCAGCTACGAGCTACTGTAGGTATTACGTTACCGGAAAGATGGACCTCGATAGGGGTACTAGTTTCCTTCCTCTTTCGATTTTCCTAATCGTCAACGACTCTCTTGTATAGAAAATGAGTAAACTAAGACACCCATTAATTTTAGGTGATTTTACATTAAAAATTAGAGCAGTGGCTTCCAAAAATAAATTTTTCTTTTTTACTACCTGAGTAGAATAGATCTACCTTTCATCGAGAAAAAAGCTAGTCAGGATCCAGCTGTATTTGAAGCTATCTGATTTCCACATCCGATTACACGGTACAACGCCAACCTATCGAGCTTCTTTTGGATAAATATTTGATTTACAAATGCATACAATTTCGCTCTTCCCCATTCTAATCTTAAATCAAAGACTATAATCCCTCGCTAAGACTCCTGATGGAATGTTTATGTCGTTCCAGCCATTCTTTTTTCTTTTTCAAATCTTAAGCTTGAAATTGATATGTCGTAAGTGGCATTCAGTATGCAACAATCTAACAACAACCTCATAACTTGTCTAATTTATTATCTTCGAGTTATAAGAATTTTCTTTTTATTCAAAAACGATCTGTAATTCCACGAGTCATATTTATCTGTATCTACTTATAATAAAATGGATTGATTATTGGTTAATAATCTCTGTTGAATGGTCATAAGGAATATCGAAACGTTTAACGAGCCTCGTAAAACCGTTATTGTTGCTCGAACGGCATCAATAACGTTATCGTGTTTCACTATTACGCGCGTTCTTCGTAATAAAGTTCTCGTGCTCGTTGACGTTAGCTGCCAACTAAATTCTGCTACACCTGAAATGAATCGAACGCGAATCGAACCTGTTCCACTACGGACAAACACGCGGTACCTTCCATATCTAGGCGTACAAATATTATCTGACGTTGGTTCGATCGTGTGATAAGACAATTCCTGTTTTACTTTCTTTTCGCCAGGTGTTATCAATATATAGATAAGGGTCCTATTCTTTTTCAATCGAACTTGTTCTCCTTTCAAGCTGTTTTGGACAGTGATGGGGCAAAAGTTGATATTCTTTGTTTAGAAATGAGCTTTGTTCCGAGGAAAAGTGACAAAATGGTTCTACTGACACAATTTCCTTTCGTACGATCCCCTTTCATCAGGTGCTACATTAGCCACGTTGATTCTACCATCGTGATAAGGAATATTCTGAGTCACAGTCTCCTGTAAACAACAGACCAGGAAGAATGCGATTCCAATCGAATCCATTTAAGCGATTATACACAATTGATTATAACCGCTAAACATCGTTAAAAAGTACTTCCCTTTTTTGTTATTGTCACCAGTTCATTTGTGGACACCTTTTCCTTTGTTTCATTCGTTTGGATTTTTGGTCAGGTTGGAATCTGAATTTCTTAACATGATCCACGTTACCAAACGATTGCGTGCAGTCAACTTTATTTATGGCCTCGAGGTCAGTCGATTTGGAGTATTAAGAGTAACATTTTTATTGGCCTTGCTTCTTAGTCCTTTACATTTTGCATTAATCGATTCTGAGATCCTTATAATGCACTATAATTTTATATGATGAATAACTCATCAATTTTTTGTGCTTCGCGATTTTCAAATTTCCAAGTAGCTCCCTCCACTCTGTACCAACGTTCCTCAATCACAAATTTGACGTAAACTCAAAGCAATCATCCCCTACCATCGTATATCTACTGATGGTATGCAATGAAAATCAGGGTGGTGCAGCATACACCCTCGAAGCGTTTCAAGGCGAGCGTTTTTTCAGCTCTCGAAGCTGAGGAGTGTTGGGTATAGTTGTAGACGGTCGTCGTGGTCGTCGGTGAAGTGGCGCGGAAATGAAAATCACCGTGAGTGAGACACGTGGACAGGGTTGGTGATTGTCAGAGCCAGAAGGGGGTGAGGGTGTGCGCGTAGCTGGTGGTAGTCAGGGCGAGGCCGCGGCCGCGGCCACGGGAGCGAGAGGGAGAGTCAGTTACTTAGGCAGGCGGCAAAGCAGGGTTGTTGCGGGAGTTGCGGGATCCGGGGTTGCCAGGTTCGGCGGGTGGCAGCCCGGGTGGAAACACGCGAACGATCCTCTGATCCCCTCGCGAGATATCGGCCACTCACTCACGCGTCCGCCGACGGCCCTAGCCGCGTCGTAACACGCTGCCCTGCCTGACTGCTTGCCTGCCTGCTTGCTTGCTTGCTTTGCTTTCCTTGCTTTCCTTGCTTGCTTTTGCTTGCTTGCTCGGCCAGTTGCTTCGTTCTACCTACGCTCGGAAACCGACCTACCTACCTACCTCTTTCCTTCTTTTCTCTTCGGCCCTTCAATCTTTTGTTTTCTTCTTAAGACTCGTTACTTTCTTCATTTTACTCGTTGATCCGCTCATTTTCACCTTGATTTTTCTTATTTCCTTCCGAATTAAAATTTGATCGTTTCAGTGTCGTGGGTTTTCGCGTGGGTCACACGAGCGTTTAAGAATGACGTCCGTTGCGACGGACGGTCCATTTACATATCGACGGGCCAAGCATAGGCCGAGCTTGAAACCACTGCACTGTCGAGGCACTGGTTAATTTCCTGCTGTATAATTCCCTGTTAGGAACGCCCCATGTTCACACGCATCTCACTCTGTCGTCTAGATAATCAATGAATGTGTAGTTTTGTCGTATGGAATATGCCAACTTTTCATCCCCCTACAGTGCCATAGTATTTCAAAATCTTGAGAAAAAGAAAATATTCTCTGCAAGCATAACAGAAACAATGAGAAAAATCATCTGGAAATACAAGCTGGTAGAAATAATACGAGCTGTACTCACGTGAGATAAACGGAAGCAAAGAACTAGACAGAATACAGAAGAAACAAAAAAAGCAGTACAGATACGGCATCGACGGACAAGTTTCTCGCGTGCAACAAGTCTAGACAACGTCAAACGTCTAAACGACATTAAATAAACTTGAGATTAGAAATGTACAGGAAGAGATCGAGAAACAGGAAACGCGAACGCACCAAGTGGAATTAAAAGGGTGGAAGATAAAATAGAAAGGATCGACCGGGATACTAAAAGGAACAAGGAGAATATGAATGAAAACAAGAAGAGAATTCATGTTATTCTATCTTGAACGAAGATTGCTGAAAGAGAAGCGAGGATAATGGAAAGATAAATAAACAAATTATTTTGTATCATTCAATCAAGTGGAGGGAAAAATTATTGCACAAACTTCCGCAGTCTAATTATAAATTTTTAAACTTAGCGAGAGAAACAGGATAAAATATTAAAAAATCTTCTTAATTAACAAAATTTGTCAATCAATTAAATTCACTGTAATCATCTAGTATTAAGTAGAAACACGTAAAGACATCGTGAAACGTCTTTCACGAAGGGTTGCTCATTTGTTCCGGCCTTTTTTCCTCTCGCAATCTAGCCAATCCTGCTATTGATTACAAGAGAGAAGAAATCGAGTCCTGTATGATAAATCGGGAGGGTTGACACTGTTGTGAAGGTTTTTTCTTCTCTCTTCTTTTCTACTCTGACCCTACGAAGGGTGGTCCGCATCCCCATAGAGACCCTCTTCTATTCTGAACCCCGTGGAACACATTATGGAGGCAGCAAGGGAAAAAGCAAAGCTATTGTGCGCCTCTGACCAACCAAAAAACTTAACCAACCAAAATCTACCGAAATCTCCCCACTCCTCTGCTCCGCCCATCTTGTTATTTCGATTGAATCAGCCTCCATCGGTTTCGGGGGTTGCTTACGCAGTTTCTCTCGCAATCGAAGATTATTGAATATGATACTGATTTTTTTAATGATAATATTGATATAATTCGATGTGATTAGAGTGTTGATTAGAAATAGAGAAGCTTTGGTAGGCATAATTAATTTTCCGATAATGGACCACTATAAAGAATAAATAATTTTTATCAATTATTCATTTATCAAGAATGTCATTGAGTAGTTTGAAAGAGAACACGAGAATGGAACAGTATTATCTGAACAGTATGAAAAGCGAGAGGAAAGGCAATAGGTTTCCCCTAACCACGATGCTAATTTGCCTAACAGCTCGAGGCAATCGGTGGGTTCCGAGAGCGACTGTAAAGCCTAGTCGTTGAATGAAGCTTGTCAGGATTACCAGCGTTTCGCTTAATAGCTCATTATAATCGAATTAATAACGACGGCCGAGAAGTCGCTGGGGTGACGCTTATTACTTCGAGACATGCAAACGAAACTGTACCACCCTCGTTCAACCCTTTCTTTTCTACCTATATCTTTCACCCCGATTTTCACGTGTTAATGAAATCCAGATTTCGTCGGCGTTACTCATTTTTACGAAATAATTGTAAATTCTTCTTAACGAGGTTCATAAAGTGTGGCTAATTAGTTGATTAGTTATGAAATAAAAATATCAAGCCTTGAATCAAGGCTAGAATTTGTTCTCAAATTTTTATTTAATTTATAGAACACTGCAAACATTGTGTACCAGTTTATAAATTTTATGTTAATAGAATCTTGCAGCTGATGCAATGTTTATCTGCAGGTGATATTTACATATAAAATGACTTTATGTTTTTGCAATTGGTTCGATCAGCGTGAAAACCCGCTTAGACGTCAATGAAATTCCATTAATCTCGAAGCGATAGCAATTTATGCTTATTTATGAAATTTTCAAAAGAAAAACAAAACGTTCTGCTGTTAATTACGGTACTTTACTTTTTATACCGGAAGAAATGTTTTTTCACCCTTAATTGACATTCGTAGTTAAATGTAAATTGTTCGGTGTTCAGCAACTGTGTAGCAATGCATTGCGATATTTTTAATCGTGAGTTCAAGAAAATCCATTTCTCATTTTGTTTGATAATTAGGTAATTGAATAATCTTAAAATGTTTTCAATTTCTATGGTTATAGTGTGTTAATATATTATAATTTGAAAGTATGAATGTTTTAAGGATTTTTTAACCAACTAAATATTTTTTTTTTTTTTTTGACACGTTATTTCGACATCTTTACACGAATTTCAAAAGTACATTACAACACTTTTAATTGAAGCTCTATGGATGCTTTATAAATTATCGCTCGTTTTTCGAAATAATCAGATAACCCGAGTGCAAGAATTTCGTTGTTAATCGAGGATCTTATCGCGGGTTTCCAATATCGTTGTAGCTACCATTTAATTCAACTTACACGATAAATCGTGTATTTGTAAACGGGAATTTTTTTTCCAGGTATTTATAAACAATCGCGGAAATTAATGCAACAGCGATTAAATGTTTAACAACGATCAGTGTGCTGAACGTTTCGACGCGATAAAGAAACGAAATCCTTCGTGCTTTCTGTAATAAATAACAATTTTTTATTATTTATATTGCTTCCAAGTTGTAATAAAATCTGTGATTTCATAACAAATTTATGATTCCTAGATTTGTATAATGAATATTTTATTTAAAACAGCGAGTAAGTAAAATTTTGGAAAACATTTTGGGATTGAATCGAACAGTTAATTAATTTGCTGATCAATGCCGATTCTAACTTGCTAATTCCTCTGACATAAGAGAATCGTTTTTTCTCGAAAACTATTAATTAAAAATGATTGAATCAAAACGAGGTAATCTGTCTTAGATAATCTATCTGAAAATAGATGTAAATTTCCTAATAATTATACAATTAAATTTATGGTTTCTTTGTAGATTTATAATTACAATTTAAATAATCTTTAGATAATGAGTCAAGTTAAGCGTTCTGAAACACACTCATACGCGTCGTGCACACCTTCAGTTTTATTTGACGCAACCGATGACACACCACGTGCGTCCTATTCTATCTCCCGCAACCGGTGACGCACCATCTGTGTCCTACGCTATTTATCCAGTACGACCAATGCGTATTCAAAGCTTGAAAACAAATTCTAGGAAATTGCTTTATACCAAAATCCCAGTTATATTTTGAGAAATAGATTCTTTCGTCTAGAATATTGCATTCAAATTACATGTCGATAGATTTGAACCAAGCTGGGTAGATCTGTATCCGATGGGAAATAATCCGAGAGCGGTTTGTAGGCGAAAGATAGTCGTCGAGCGGTTTGCGAGCGGTTTGCGAGCGGTTGATTTATGGTCGCGGGGCAACGATATTCTCGTAAAACCTCGAGTATCTTCTGTTACGCTGGTTTCGTGTGCATAATCTTATCAGACTCGTTTACGACTGTCGCATAAGCGTAAATAGCCGTCTAAATAACTCACGGGCGGAACAGTATAAATAACGATAAATTTTCGTTGTATCTGGGGAAAAGTTTGTTATCAGCCGGTGTATCGAATCTTGATTTGTACACGGCTTAACGAAGACCGTGTAGACGTTTCTTCTCTCCATGCAAACATTATTTGAACAGTGTACTTCTATTTGAACTGCACATCTATGTTTATGCTACCGTTTTTCCTTTACCCTGTTCACAATTTCTAGACGAACATGATACTTCTTTAACGATCTTAAATCGTATTCTTATTACAAAGAGCTGGCAATTTTATTTCATCGTACCGTAAGTCCTTTGAGAAAATTACCTTTCTGGATAGGTCTACAAATTTTTGATAAGAAAAACGGTGAGAAGTGAATGTACGTTACAAAGACAACGAAAGGGTTGGTGTTGATCGGTAGAAAAGCACGTGGAAGATTAACGATGTCTGTCGAACCGGAATTACGTGTCACGTTTTATTAATCTTGTTACGCGTAGTTTGCGTTTCAAAGGCACTAGGTCGTCGGACAACAAGTACGTCACATTTTACTTGTCCGTCAATCTTAATTGAATTCACCACCCAAGTGAAAACTAACCGAGAGCTTCGATTGACCGCTCGCCGTGGCGTATTCAATGTACCAACTTATGTAAAGCATGCTCAACGAGCCACAATTGGGTCGTGTCGCGACGCTTAAACGCGACGAATTGTTCTTCTAAGAACTCGCCACTGGCTAATATCAATCGACTCCAGAATTTCATAAAAAACAAAACAACACATTTTGTCTTTAGAAGATTTTGTTGTATCATGGAGGAAGAGAATAATCTACGAAGGATTAGAAAGGTGTTGATATTAAATTTGAAATATCAGAGAAGAGAATAACGGAGAAGATTGACTCGTCGAAGGTGAGGCATCAATCGGTACACGTAAAGGGTCTATGCTGGCCCGGTTCCGATCGACCATTAATTCACTGGGAGATAGCGATCGAAGGAAAGAGCGGACAGGCACGGCTCTCCTCCGTCAATTCTGTCTAAAATAGTCGACCGATAAACAGAAGCTAACGAGCTGCTACCGGATCGCCCCCACGGTATACTAATTTCACGCTAGTTGGACCCTACGTTGGAATAAACGATCTACATACCGACAGGTTTCGGCACGTTTCTCTTCACCTGCATCCACTTGTAGGTGGGTACGTGTGGTTGTTGTTGTTGCTGCTGTTGCGGCAGTGGTGGGTGGTGTCCGTGGGGATGCTGTTGGTGATGATGCCCGTGTGCATGCTGGTGCGGATGTTGGGGATGTCCCGATTGCTGGAGAACGTGATAAGCCGTTGGGTCAGGGTTTTCCTCCTTGTAATGACCGGTCGTGTGTGCCGTGTAGTCGTTCTGCCGGATCTGAGGGTGATAGTGGAGCGTGTCCTCCGTGGTTGGCAGTTGATGAAGATAGTTGGTGGTACCAGCGACTGGTAGCTGGTAGTCGGGCTCGTGATGATGATGGTGATGGTGGTGGTGATGACTAGAAGACTGATGATGCAACTGCTGCTCGTGTTCCGTTCTGTGGGCAGGAGGGACCATCGAGGTCTGGTGGAGACCGCTAGTCGAGCCAGGAAGATGGTGATGGTGGTGCTCGTCTCTGTAAGCCGCCTGTTGGACGTGGTAACTCTGGTGAGGATCCACCGATCCGTGGGATCCATTCGGGTGTTGGTGCTGTTGGCCTGTGGGATAGCCCGAAGACGAAGAGGTCGCGTAGTCCAGATTCGTGTAGCTCAGACCATTCTCCGACGAGATGATCGCGGTCGTGGTTCCATCCTCGTGCAAAACGCCGGCCGACGGGGAGTAGAACCCTTGCGGAGGAGTTCCAGAAGAGGCTGCCGATTCCGCGGCCAGGAAACTCTCCGAGGAAGAGGAGGAATAAGGGGAGACGGCTGTCTGAGGGAAATAATGAGCCGGAGCAAGTTCCGGCGAGGGTGGTACCGGCACGTGTCCTCCGACGGACACGGGCTGATGATGATGATGATTCCCTTGACCCGTGCACACGTAGTTAGGGTATGAGTCAGGCTTGCCGTAAGTTCCGTACATGCCCATGTCCATCATCATCATCCTCGTAACGGTGAGGCGAATACATCAATTGGCCACCTGCTGCTGACCACCAGCGTGTCTTTCACAGTGTGCACTGTTATTTTACCGGCAGCAGAAGAAGGGAGGGCACAGTCTGCGAGCAAGGTCGATCGAGGAAATGATTTACATCGTGATCACTCGCTACCACTTGGTGACCTGCACTTTTCGACGACCTTTCAACAAAAGGACCTCGTCAGAGGCTGCGAACGAAGTAGCACAGATATCACAGACTGACACACTCGGCAAACTCTTTCATTCCTCGATAACAGATGATTGACAGATGAAGAGTCCCGGATGCACGATGTTGCGATAAGGTACTCCACTTTTAGAAGAAGGTACTGATTACCATAGCATTCCAACGCGAAGTAATCAACGTGTAAGAGTAATCGATGCTCTTTTGGAAGATGAAAGAAAATAGAGCCAGATCAGGTTAGACGTAAACGCCAGCGATCCCGAGGCAGGTCCGCGGCGCGGCAGTGGACGCGCGGGAACGCACCGTTATTCGCGAAAATAATGGAAAGAGCGGACGCGTAGACGTCGATCCGGTCGACGAGGGTCGCTGAAGTGGACTGGCTAGGTAGAGTAGACTGGTGGAAGGCGGCACGGTCGAAGGCTGCACGCAGGTGAGACCGGAGCCGCAGGGGTCTGGTGTGTCCAGTTTATCTTTCTCTCTTTCTCTCCAGTACGGTCTCTTTCTCACCCGTTCGGTGTTCCCGCAAAAGCATTGCTCTACGTACGCCTAGCCAGCCGAAGGTGCTGCCTTCTCCAAAGTGGGCGTGTTCTCGATATTGGCCACGTGAACGTTCCTGGGCGGAGTCAGCCAATCCTGGCCGAGCCTGCGCGTCCGGCGCCCGTAGCCTCATGATGGATCACCGAGCTAAATTTTTATTTTTCCTTCCTTCCTTTTTATCTGGCACGCTGCAGTTGACACTTATCGTGGCGGGTAGAGGTAGTCGAGTATTATATCTCGGTGCCCACCTTCCAGGATACCCGGCCGGCCCCTCGCCTCCGTCTTCCTCTCAGCTCCTTCTTTCATCTGCCTCCTCCGGCACCACTGTTGCATCCTCATCTCTCTCGCTCCTTTCCAACTGGTCAGTCTTCTTCTGTGTACACGCGTGTCCCACCTGTCTCTGGACACAACGTTCCGACATCCTGCGCTTTTATTAACGCCTGACGGCTGATGGGTTAATTACGGGACCGCGAGGTCTGCGTTGCGTCCTCTGCGTCTGGTGTCACTCGAAATCTTGCTCGGCTCGTTTCAATTTCGACCAAATTAGGAGTTCAATTACATTTACGACTAGGGTGATACGAAAGTAGGAGGTTGAAAATTTGATTGTGTCAATTACTTCAGGATGACTGGTGAATCTCTTAGATAGATTGTTAGATCGATTAGAATTGCTTCGGTTACAATTGATCGGTGGAGGAAATTTTGTTCATATTACGTAATGGCGGATCGGGGGGGCGACGATTATCTTGGAGGGCCGGATTCGCAGGAACCGACAGAGGAGGAGGCACGAAAGACGCGTGACGGGCCCATGGGACGTCTGGTAGTACCCCATGTGGGTTCAGTGACAGGATGACACATTCCGCCGTGAAAGTTTTAGGAGAGCGGTCCCGTATCAGCAGTTCAGTCAGGAGAGCTTATATCGAGGGCGCCACCTGCGGCCACCCGCGACATCCGTTCTGTCCCGGCCATCAGATCAGGAAATCTTCATCTTGATCGAACTTCCATGACGTCTCATAGTTCTGATTCTCACTGTCGGCCGATCTTTTTCACCTGAACGCCCTCGTACACCCGTCCTTTCGTTTGTTTCATTGCTCCATGCCAGCTATGTCGCATTTCATGGGTGTTAATAATGTTTCTGATTAATTGGCAATTGGCTTAATTGTCGTCAATGTTGCTTTCGATACTTTCCATTCTATTTCTTCATTTATTTATTTAAAATCCCACGTAACCCAGTAGAATCGATCTGAACTTACCGTTCAGCCCGTACCTTAAAGTAAAGTGGTCAAAGGTTTAACTCTTAAGGCTGGTGGCTCGATAGTTGTTCGATGAGGCGTGTGATTTCCTCGTCGAAACGGCTCGAGCGAGTTTTAATGGAATTTTCCAGGATCAGACGGCAAATTCGAGTTTAGCCGAGTCTAATGTCCGGATAAATATCAGCAGCCGGCTTTTCTTTTATCCTTCTACCGTGGACACGCGTAAACTTCGCGACGGCTAATCCTCTTAAACAATTACAAACCAGTCGATCGGTCTGGTACCTATCTTGTCGTGGCGCCACGCTGAGTTTTGACGTGGGATGAGGCACCTGCATTGTCATGCTAAGCCGCAGTCGCCTTGCTGCAGTTCCCATTTATCTGCCACCAACAACACATCCCACCGTCTTCCATCCTCCTTCTTCCAGCCTGTGAACTTCTCAAGCGTAGGGCACGAGTCAACATTTTTCTTCGTGAGAATTTTACCTCGTTCCGAGGTTACAAAATATATTTCAGAATGTTTCGATTAAAATTAAGCAATCATTGTTTCAATGAAAGATTTTCATTTAATATCGTATAGCGGTCATTGCATTTGAGCTCACATAGTTGCAAGAAGACGTTTCATTTCGTTACAAGAACTGAAAAGAACAATTGCGACGGGTCTCTTGTCAGTCAAAAACATCCAGTCACAACAATCCAGCGGGTGGTTCCTCGATGGACAGACAGCTGCCTATTGAGAGGAAAACTAGCTTTTCATGAGAGGTTTGTCTTCATAAAGGCAAGATACAAGGCTATTATTCTGAATATAATCTCTTTATTCTGGAAACGCTGAAAGTCAGGAAGCCGTGTTAAACACAAAGAGGAACGGCAGGCTCGATGGGCGGAATTTTTGACGAGATGCTTGCTGTTCCCTCGAGAAACTAAGATCTTCCTTGCTCCGCCCGGGAATTTTTCTGCGAGAACCCGTTATTTGGTTCATGTTTTGGTCTACGTGTTTATTGAAAGTGTACCATGGACTTGGGAAAAAGTCGAATTTATCAAAGCATTCGATTCGAAAATTACTCTTTGCGAGCCACTTCTTACTTTTTTTCCACGTTTCAACGCTTCGATCCAGATGTTTCTCAATAGGTCTGTGTTTGATTCTGTCATCGAAAAGTGGAAAGGTTTTTCCATGGTACGAGAGAGATCGGAATTCGACTGGTATCAGATTGCAAGCAGGGAAATCTCAACGCGAATGGCATCGGTTGATCGATCTTCCGTCCCGAATTTTCCATAATTCCGCCCATTTTCGAAATGGCGCCGTCCTTTTTGTATGCCGCTCGCACGAAATCGTAGCGGGGACATGGGAAAGCCAGCACAATGGAGTCATCGATCATTCGGTATGAGAGTTGCTCGATTGCTGTTCTAACTGTGCGGCCTCTTGTTGCCAGTGAGCAGGAACGCGAGTGTAATCGAGCGTATTTACCGATACTTCGTTGCGAATTCCATCGTTTCTACTCTCTCCTCTCCTTTGTCGAGACTGAATTGAAAAAGGGACGAATGTGTTTGATTTGCAGTTCTTTTTTGCATACAATATTTTCGATTAAAATATCATTGAATTTCATTCAGGTGATAATTTTACTTATTATTAGCGATTCAGGAAAAAGGTGGTAGTGAAATTGTGTCGCAAAGTGTAGAAAGGAGACACGAAATCAAACGACGAAACATTTCGATCGTACAGTGACTTGGCAATGCTTGATATGCCATTTCATTCAACCTGACTCACGGTTGCCTCGTTCTACGCGTCGATCGTATCGTTGTAAATATTGAATAAATGTAATTAGCCATCGGCGGTGGAAAGGGTGCGTGCAAACGGTAGCCAATGTTCGACTAGCACGATTCCAATCCGATTACAGTTTCTTCGTTCGTGTACAGCATTTCGATAGCAAATTGCCTTTTTCCAGATCGAAGATAATAACCTCTGCGAGTAAGTTTTTCGAGCGAAGCTTGAAAAGAAACTCGAATTACTTTCGCGTGCCGTCGAAGAAACCGCGTGCACTCACGCGTTATCAGGTTTTAACACCTTGAGCCACGGTTCTCTTTTTTCTTACTTTTAGAGAAACATGAAAATGACGAGGTAATTTAGCTTGAAATCCCTTCTGTGTTTTATTTTTATCTTTTGAATGGGGAATATCTTTCAGTAATTATTTAAGTTGGTGTTTCTCTTTTTCGCTTTTAAAGTAATTAATTTCACATAAAATTAATTTCCTCGTCACGGTTAGAATAAATACGGTAGTAGAACGGAATTTAGTTCGTGCATGAAGTACTGATATTTTAAAATTCAATGACGGAGGGCTGTTTCCCGTGGTACGAGGGGTGCGCGCTCGATTTGCCCTATGACGCACGAGTATCATATCCTGGCCAAGGAGAGCGTGTATCCACAGTAATAAAGTTAGCGCGGTATATAATTATGACAGGCTCGTTACCAGCACGTCGCAACGGGATATGAAGTGTTAATGAATGGACGCGTCGAACCAAGGGGTGGCTGGTACCGTCGTGTAATTTTCGTTCGCCCGTAAACAAGCTTCGAGTATACATTCTCAGTTGGTTCTGTTGCTCGAGATCTAATAAATATTACATTTTAAGTTTTTTCTTAATTCTTCCTTTATTGTTTTACATGTTACAAAAATTCTTAAGCAAGGGTAAAAATATATTAAGCTCTTTAAATAATCTTTCCGTCCAAAATATCGGTGTTTCGTCGATGATCTTTCGAAAGGTTCGCGGTTTCTTCTAGAAAGGTGTTGGTAGTATCGGTCAGAAACGAGATAAGGGCAAGTGCGCAATGTGTCCGATAAAGACCGATTTTAATTTAATCTCACCAAGTTAAGCTTTCTTAATTCTTTCGATCGATAATAGATGCTGAGATCCTCGCAATGTTTGTAGATAACAGATAACCTTATCTTTGTCTTGTATTCTTCGCTAATCTGTCAGTTTCGTGTTCCTTATGATTGTCGCATAGATAACGGGCTCAGAGTTCCTCGATGCATCATGGACTCGTTGCAGATGAATTTTGGAGAAATTAGATTTCAAAGTATTTGAAATTATAGGATCGAGACTTAATGGAATTCATAATTATCAAAGGGCGAACTTTGTTGACCCTTTCGCGTACGCGTCTGCATCTGTCTCACTATCTTTGAAAAGAGAATCGCAAACTCAGACTTCTAAAAATGATTCTCATGGACTGCCAGGAAAGATAACAGAGTCGGACACGATTCTTTCCCAAGAAAGGACGAGTGGTCGTTTGGACGAGGTGGATCCTCGGATGATCATTGATGGGGGACGCGGACGGGGGTGGGTAAAGTTAGATTTCCGCGTCATTACACAGGCGTGGCGTTGGTCGCCGAGTTAATTGAATGCAGCGTGTGTTGACAGGTAGGCATATTGGCAGGCAGACACGAGAACCGAGAGAAAGAGACGAAGACAGAGTCAGAGAGCTTCGAAGAGGACGGGGCCGGCTGACCAAGGTTTGTGTCAGATGCGGTTGCGATATCGGCCCCACGTCCGTGCCTCTTCGAAGCCGTGTACCTGTCATTTTCGGTGACCGTGTCATTCAGCCCGTTCGTTCTTCCTTTCACGGATCCCTTTTC